TGACGATTTTGTAGCGATCTAGGCTTTATAGATCCAATATTCCTCTTGTATCTAGAGTCAACTACATGAGCATGAGGATCCCAAATTTCCCTGAACATGAGGCTCGGGCGAATTGTTTGGTTTTAGCGAGGCAAGGTGCACAGGAAACGCCGTGACTCTGCCGTTGTGGTCAAAGAAATAAACAATTTGCGCGCTATGCCGCGTGCGTCTTTTGGCCAATCAGCATGGCCACTCTCAGCAAACATGAACGCAAGTGGGCGGTTCTTATTCGCCGTAATTGATGGACGATATGGTAAATTCGGACAGCATCCAACGGGAATATTGATACTCCGGGTCTACTCCCAATGTGGTATCGTAGGTCTTGGTATTGGGGCTCGGGAAACAATCGAAGAATGTGCAATGCACCAGTATGAACCATGCTATAGTAGCTATTCATGATCTTGGCCTGCGACAGGGTGTACGCGGTGCTTCGCAAGCTGATTAGTGGCAGAAAGTGCCCTAGACCAACAAAATTTGCGTCTTTCCTCAAATATTCCTTTTCATCCGACGTTGGCTTTTGAGCAGGTCTTCAAGACTATATTGTCATATGGCAATTGGTGGCAAGCTGTTCATCATGATGGATATATCAAGCTCCATTGATAGTCAAGGTCAGCCACTCGAGCGGAGCCCAATCGAAGGACGGACCAAACGGTCTCCACAGACACATTTTGCCATCTTTCAAGACCTGTAACCTGAACCCCATCGATATTCTAAAGCAACACAAACTCCGACCTGGCTACCATACAAAAAAACCCCTAGGAACATTATATTACCTCTTAGATTTTCCCACTAATCAACCATTCTTTGGAAGGGCTGCAGTGTAAGATACTTTTTGCCATCAACTCCAAATCCGGTACATATTTGTTTATCCGATGTCATATTACTCACCAGAATAGGCAAAGGGGTAGATCATTCCAATTCAATACTTTTCCGATAACCCGAGATAAATGAATAGAAACAGGAAATAATCAGCTGCACAGGCGCCCTACCAGTTTAACTGGCCTACATTTTCCACCCTTCGGTGTGCCTCCCCACAATAAATCTCAACACAATGAAAAGAGCTGCACCCGTCACGACCGTCATAGCACTGAAAAGTTGCGCTTTCCAAAAGACCGCATGCTCCAGATCCAACAAAGCGCCCGCAATGGGGTTACCAATCAGCAGCCCCAAACCAGCAAAGGTAAAGCACATTCCCATTCGGGTCCCCACAATACTCATGTCCTTGGTGATCTTCGCGATGATAGTCGGGGGCAATGAGACAATCGCACCAGATGCATATCCGTAGATGATAGCGAAGACGATAGTTCCCGCCTCGTTCCTGATGCCTATCCACGCGAAAGCTAAGACAGTAGCTATCAAGCTAATTGGGACAATTGTGTTGAGGGAGCCGATACGATCGGCCAGTAGACCGGGCGTGATGCGCCCAAATACGGAGGCAGCATTGAGAATTGCGATGCTGTAGAAGGCAATGTTTTCGTCGGTATGGAGGTAGGAGGTGAAGAAAGTCGGAAGGTAAAAGAAGGGGAAGTATAAGCCAATAAAGGCGAAAAATAGTGCCAGACTGAGCACAATAAAGGGCGGTTCTTTGAATGCGCTCGGGTCAATGAGCTTTCGTGCCTGCTTCGGAGGTGGAAGGCGCATTTTCATCACTGCTAGGGAAAATAGTAGTCCACCGAGAGCAATAAATGCAATGACACGAGTCGTCCAGCCGAAACCAAGAGGGCCAATCAGCTTGTGGAACACGGCAGGGAAAATCACGGAGCCTTAGTACCAGTATTAGCCAATGATTTTCTGGTTTCTTCTTGTTTCAATATTCGAAACACTTACCGATGCTACCTCCAGAAGCGGTTATACCTGTGGCCACTGCTCTCCGCGAGGTAAAGTAGGTGGCCACAATAGCGACACTAGGAAGGAACAAGAATGCGCAACCAGCTCCCACAGCGACACCATGGGCTAAGAAGATCTGGTAATACTGGGTTGACAAGGATGTCATCATCAAACCAAATACAACTAGGAACGAGCCAATAGCGATGAGGGTCTTTAGGTAGCCCTTGTCGAAAACGGGGCCGACAACGACTCCGACGATGAATAGCAGGAATCCTTGGATTGTGCCAATCCAAGAGATTGAGGATGCGGAGTACTCGGGCAAGAGAGTCTCTTCATAGTAGCTCTGGAAGACGCCAAATGTGTTGACAATGCCCCTAATATTGCGTTAGCTCATTTCAATGATAAAATTTGTAAATGTCCAATCTCAAGTTGGAGCTCACCAAGAATTGAAAAACAAGAAGAAAGCACCCGCTACCTGAAGCCATGCTGTAAGTCCTCCATTTGGTGGAGGAGGAGGTATCGCTGGTTGATCGGCTGTCTGTTTTTCTGACTCGGATTCAGACTCGGCAGGTAGTGACGCAGGAGGGTTTCGTAGAGCGAGATGCTTGTCCGTTTCAGAAGACATGGTGTGGAAATATGACGTGATACCAAGGGTAACTTAGTCTCTAAGGACCTTGGGACTTCTGGTAGTTCGGGGAAAGTAACTCGAGTTGACTTGACTTGTAAGTGACATAAATTCTTTTTTCTAGTGCCTGGGAGCCTCAGATATATCTTGAGACTAGAGGCTACACGCCATAGAGCTCGGCATTTCGGCATTTTCTCATCTGGAGAGCATTTGTAATAATGTAGGGGCATGGCATCAGTGAGTTTCTCTATGGGCTATGTTCGACCCACCAATGCCCACGGGTGGAGCCTAAAAGGGACTAAGCTTTGCAAGGTTGGATCTGCCCGAAAAACGAGAGATCAGATGAATAATCAGATATTTAACACGACATCAAAGGATTTCACTTGCAGCGTCACATCCAAAGAATTTTCGCATTGCACCATTTTCCATTGCGGGCTAATATAAGCTGCAGGCCTCGAGCCTAGAAGCGGCCTGCAAATTAAATGAATACGAACTGGCCCCAGTTCGTTGCATCGTACTTGTGAATTTTGACCGGCTTCCGCTGACAGACGCCAAGTGCAAAAATCATTGGATCCCATACTCTTCTGAGTCGCAAACACCGATGTATTCTTAAATATATGTGCCTTGAAAATGTAAAACGGGGGAATGAGGTATGGCTCTAGGAGGTAAATTTGGAAATTCAATCACTACCCCTGCCAGGGGCAGGGGTTGCCATGTCAGCCTCGTCAGTTTTCTCCATAATTGCACAAGTTGCTGGGTTGGACACATGGACCCTGGTTGAATCTGATATCCATTTGAAATGATCTACCTGTTTGAAACTACGAGCTAGTATATGATATATTGGAAAAAAAGTGAGAAATATGTAAGAGAGGAGGACCCTTGGAAAGGAGGACTATACAGTCTACTATAGAGCAGTCATGTATGTGACCGAGAGATTTTAACAGAAATGGGTTGACAATGGATGTACCATTCAGGGTACCTAGGTAGGTAGGTAACTAGTCAAAATGATAATCCAGGATCTAAGGAAACAGGCAGTTTGTGTACATGGATGTGTAGCGATGCTGACAAAGAATATGCCTTTTATGTTTGTATGGTTTGTCGCTTTCTAGTGATCTTCCGGGTAAATAGCCCGTAAATATCCTGTAAAATGCATGTATTCAATCTTGATCTGACACTTAACACTACTAGTACCAAGCTATTTCTGTTGTAAAGCCTTAAAAGGCGGCCCAAGCCACCAGGGGTTCGCATCCTTCATCTCCGTGACGAGTATTGCGCAAGTCCGTCAGATCACAACATTGAAATTGCTTCTTTCGATTACTCAAACACGAAGACGATCTTCCGACCCCCGATCGCCCCATCATGGGCCCGCTGGATCGAATCACAGAGCGTTTTCTCCACGCCCTTTGCACCACGTTTCCAGGTGACATACTCCAGCGCCGGTGCCTTCAGCATCCCACGAGCCAATAATTCTGCAAACCACTCAAAAAGCGCCACCTGCTGCAGCGGGGCCCGTCGGCCCAGGCAATCACTCAGTCTGAAGGATTTGAGCGTAATATTGCGCTGCCACAGGAACTGACGCAGATTTCCCTCCTGCGATTCAGCCGTGCCAAGGAACCCAGCCGTTACCAGCGTGCCGCCTGGAATGAGGGATGCTGCCATGTTTCGGGCCAGTGAATCGTCCGAGACGGAGTCAATTGCTAACACGATCCTTTTTCCTGTCAAGGCATCGGTCGTACGTAGCTCTTCTTCCGTGAGGACCAAGGATGCACCGTGCGAGCGCAGTGAGCGTTTGGTTCGCTCTAGTTCGTCGGCCGTGGATCGGTCCCGGATCACGCTAATGACTCGGATGCCATACAGCGGGGCGAGTTGGCTGACGAAATGACTGATAGTTCCGGTGCCCGCGTTCTGGATGATCCAGTCTCCGGGCTCGAGGCCGTGGTATTCCCTCAACAGGAAATACGCTGGGGCTATGCCCATTCGCAAAATAGAGGCAAGGTGCGGCTTGACCGTGGACGGAATACGGATGAGATCGTCTTCGCTAAACACTGCATGCGTTCTCCATGTGCCTTTGCAGTGGGTCCGGAGAATAACGAGGTCGTCAACGGCTAAATTGCTGACAGCCGAACCGATTTGGACAATGCGAGCGGCGCCATCGGAGCCTGGAATTGCCCGCTCCTCGCCATTCTGCCCCACGATGGTGCTCTTGGGTTTGATGGGGTACTTTCCGTGAATAACGAGAAAGTCCAATGGGTTGACGGGGACCGCGAGGAACTCAACGACGACTTGTTCTGGTCCATGAGTGGGTATGGGTTGCGTGGCGAGGTGCATCCCATCGATTGGGTTGACGGCGCCATAAGTGAAGACGAGGGATTCGGCCATTGTGACGTCAAAACTTGGACTCGTGTTGAAGTGATGGAGGCAGAAGGTCTAGATGATCGGTGATACCGTCCTTTGCATTCGTCCGGATCGAACTTTTTATAGCCTTGTCAGTAACATCAAAAAAAATCCCTCATTGCCAGGCCGCAGGTCCATTACCGTTGCATAAGATCCGCTCCGCGTTGCGCAAGATCTGACATGCATGAGGTGGGTTCAGGAACCGCCAAGATAGCCTAGAAGCTTGAGTGTATAAGCCTTCAAGGGAAGGATTACTGAGGCCTGAGCGGTACGAGGCACTCTTCAGCACCAATTCCAGCTCATACGCCCAATGCATGAATGCCATGTTTTCAAGCGACGGGATCCGATTGGGGCAATGACTCGCATATGCAGGATCTGAGGTCAGGAGCAGATTGAGACCTGAAATTCAACTATTTTCACCTATACAGGCTAGTCCACGAACCCTCGCCAGCTTGTACTACCACATTGGAGTAATAGGCACAGGCAACACCGAGTCTGGGGGCGGAAATTATGTAGCATCGATGGCGTCGTTTAGCACCCGGTTCCTCTTTGCCTTGGTATACGAAACATTTTTCGCCGGTCAAGAACTCCTTTTGGAAAATGCAGGTATATTGCGCCTTCAGGAATGGGTCGTGAGGATTTTGGGGCCTCTACGACGTGCCCAGGTGAGACACGTGTATATTGTCACAAAAAAAGACAGTAAAATAGTACCGGCTTAGTCTATAAGTATCTGTTCAAGCCATAGATCCTCAGTATCAAAAGTGTCTTCATTTTTCTCATACTCGGGTTGAAGGATTGGCATCCATTGCTGAAGGATATCATCATGGCTCCAATTGCTACCCGGCACCTCATACCCAGCCATATTGTGGACAGTCCTGCCACAACCCTCAAACAAAAAGTCACGAACGTGACACAAGCCCAGGCTACCTCAAGCCCGCCATCAGCGCCGTGCCTGGTTACGGACCTCATTCGATACCAAGTCGAAACAAACCCGGAAGCCTTCGCCGTACACTGCGAACATGAGGAACCCTATACATATCACGAGCTATGGCAGATTGTTGAACAAATTGCACTCAACGCAAAATTCGCATCAGGGTCTATTGTCCCAGTATGCCTCGATCCCACTATAGAATTTGTGGCGGGCCTTCTGGCGATTATGGTTTCTGGTGCAGCATACGTTGTTCTTGATCCCGAGGGTTCTCCAGAGCGTAACCGAGCTATCGTGGCCGATACTGGTGCAGATTCAGTTCTGTCAAACAACAAATATGCATATTTGTTTGAACAAGCTCTCTCGGTGGAGGACCTCTTGTCTATAAATGAGGCATCTCAAGGATATTTGATTATCCCGCCACACGTTCCTGGCCCAAGTCCATCGGATCTCGCGTATCTGATCTACACTTCTGGTAAGTTATGGTTTAAGACATATCAATTAAGTCTTCTGAAAGTGAGAAGAAGAGCTAACACTTTTTTCAGGATCTACCGGAACACCAAAAGGAGTTTTACTGAGCCACCGCTCAGCAAGCCATGGGATCAGTCAATTCGAGCTCAACGGCCGCAGGCGGTGGTTGCTCTTTTATAATCCTGTGTTCTCCGCGGCCCAAAGAACTATTCTCGCCACACTATCAAAGGGCGCCTGTCTTTGTTTGGCACGCCGCGAGCGTCTAGCAACGGCATTGCCCGAGGTGCTTGTCAATCTCCAAATTGATGCTCTTGGCATCACTCCCTCGGCACTGTCTCTGCTTTCTCCCAGTGAGATTCCGGACAGCCTCGAGCAGATAACAACTGTTGGCGAGCCCTTGAGCCAAGCTCTCGTTGATTTATGGGCGGATGAAGTTCACCTGCGCGTCTCGTATGGTCTCAGTGAATGCGCCCAGTTGAACTTCTCTCGGCGATTGAAGCCTGGTGATAACCCTCGTAACCCGGGACGGCCAGTCGATACCACCACTGCTATCATTCTGGAGCCCAATACAGCAACACAATTGGGAGTTGATGAGCCTGGTGAATTGTGCCTCCTTGGGCCTCAAGTTGCCAGCGGCTATCACCAACGCCCGGAAGAGACCAGTGCCGGTTTTGTCAAGAACCCTTTCGGTTCGAACATTCTTTTTAGAACAGGTGACCAAGCTGTTCGTCGCGCTGACGGGACTTTTGAGATCCTCGGAAGAATTGATCACCAGATCAAAATTCATGGTCAGCGAATCGAGCCCCAAGAAGTGGCGGAGACTCTCTCAACCGTGAAAGGTGTCACTGAAGTTGTATGCGTTGGCGCAGCCATAAAAGATAAGATCTCCCTCGTTGCTGCAGTCGTACCAAATACCCAAGACAGCTGGGCCGATCTTGTGAAAAACCTGCGAGAACATGCACAGCGTTCATTTCCACCATACATGGTCCCAAGTTACTGGCTTCGCTGCGATGAATTGCCAGTTAATCGAAATGGCAAGGTCGACTTCAAAACCATTCGGACGACAGCTGAATCAGCAGATATTGACAGCCTTTTGGGTCGTGATCACAATCTCAATGGACAGGAGGTTCATTTGAGCCAAATTGCTCTTGAGATCGCTGAAGTCTGGGCCGGATACTTGCAACTCAGCCGCACGTCTATTCTTCCCACCGATTCTTTCGTCGCCTTGGGTGGATCTTCAATTGACGCCATACAAGCAATTCGTGAGCTCCGCACAAAGGGCATCCATGTTGACCTTGCGGACATGCTGAGATCACAGAGCTTGGAGAGTGTCGCTGATTCTTCCCGGCTGGATCCCAAAGGAGAGAGCCAGACTCACACCCCTCAGCCGTTTTCCCTTATATCAGACATGGAACTCAACGCCGAGCTTCAGGCTGATCGCGGTATAGCTGATGCTTTGCCTCTCACTGCCTTACAAGAAGGTATTCTTGCCAGCACACTACAAGGTTCCCAAGACTATCTGTACCAGAGGGTCTTTGATATCCGACATCTTGACCTGGTCAGATTGCAGCTTGCTTTCCAAAGTGTGTTTTGGCGTAGCGAAACACTCCGGTCTACCTTCGTTCCGGCCACCAAAGGCTTACTGCAAGTCATCCGGAATGACTTCCTCCTTCCTTGGACAGAGATTTCTGGTAGCCTAGAAAGTTTCCTCAAGGCGGACAAGGAAAAAGGTGTCGCCTTTGGTGAGCCTTTCATGAGAGTAGCAGTGCTCAACAACTCTGTACTCATCGTATCCGTTCATCACGCACTGTTCGACTTCTGGTCGCATTCATTCGTATTTGAGGATGTTGCAAGTGTTTACTATGGCAAAAAGCCGGAGACTCGAGCTTCATGGAAGTCCTTCATTGGCCTTTTACAGCAACAGGGGGAGGGAAGCTCCGCCGAGTTCTGGAAACAGCATCTCCAGGAATCGACACCTACAATCCTTAACCATTCTCCAATTGGAGAGTTCTTCACTGCCACGCGGATTCTTCCTCTAAATTTGAAGTCAGCATCCACAGCCCTTCAAGTTCCATCCAGTGCTATCTTATACGCTGCCTGGGCTATAGTTCTTTCGTCTCATACGGCGTCAAACCTGGTTACTATGGCCACGGCTATCTCGGGTCGAGAGTTGCCATTGAAAGGAATTGAATCTCTGGACGGTCCAACTCTCGCCATGGTACCACAGGCAGTGCTTGTCAACCCTGAACATTCGTTGGACCAGCTTGTGCAATCCGTCAATGCCAATCTCTGGGATCTCATCAAGAACTCGCAACAGGGTGTGCGGGGCGCTTTGGCAGCCGCTGGACATCACAATTCCACTATGTTTGACACTATGGTGAACATACTGCCCTTGGGACAGGATAGCAGTGACCTGACGAGGGAGGTCTTCCAGATGCATGGGACTAGGTCTGCGTGGAAAACGGAGTATACCACCTTGAACATTCAGGAGAGATCCGGAGGGGTCGAGATTAGCCTCACGGCTCCCATGGAGCAGCGTCGTCTAACGTTTATCTTGAACCAATTCTCTCATGTTGTTGAGACAATTTTCAGCAACCCACGACTACCAATCAAATCTTTCAGTCTCCTCGATTCGGAAGAGTTGGACTTCCTGCTTCAATGGAACGAAGGGCAGCCGCAGCCCACCACTCTTCATGATCAGTTTGAGTTGGCGGCTCAGAAACACTCCTCTAGGGTGGCTATCAACTTCCAGAATGAGCAGCTCCTGACATACGCTGAATTGAATGAAAGAGCCAACCGCATGGCTAACTTCCTCTCGGAACATGGCGTCACGAAAGGAGATCTTGTTCCTCTTCTTCTGGAGAAGTCGCCATTCATGATGATCGCAATTCTGGCACTCTTCAAGCTCGGTGCCGCATATGTACCTTTGAGCCCAGAAAATCCCCTCGAGCGCAATGAGTTCATCGTGCGTGATGTCGGCGCCCGTGTTGTTCTCTCAGAGACAGAACATGCTACATTCTTTTCCTTCGAGGACATCTCCGTTGTTTTGATTGATCAAGCCAAGCTCTGTGCATATTCAAAGGAGAAGCCCGAAACGGAAGTCTCGCCTAGTGAGCTCGCCTACATTCTCTATACTTCAGGTAGTACAGGTCAGCCAAAAGGAGTAACGGTCTCCCATGGAGCATGCGCTGCTGCGATGAGATCAATCATCGATTTTGAGAACAAGTGGGATGAGCCTTTTAGAGCTTTACAGTTCTCTAATTACGTGTTTGATGTCTCACTGTATGACTTCTTCGTCACATTGCACAGCGGTGGAACTCTCTGCATTGCTCCGTCGGATCGCCTGCTCGGTGATTTGGCTGGAGTAATCAATGAGATGGATGTCAACCATACCTTCTTGACTCCAACTGTTGCCCGGCTTCTGGACCCCAAAGACGTCCCAGGCTTGAAATCAATGACTGTTGGAGGCGAGCAGTTGACGCGCGATGTGATCGAGACCTGGGCTCCAATGTTAACCCTGCGTAATGGGTATGGGCCTACAGAGGCTTCCGTTCTGGTTACCATGAAAGAGGTCACTGTCGAGACCACCGGCGGTAACATCGGACGGCCTCTCGCTTCCGTGGGCGCAGTCATTTTGGAAGCCAATGGTGATCAACCACTTCCATATGGAGCAGTTGGAGAACTTTGCTTCTGGGGTCCTCAGTTAGCCGACGGCTATTTCAAGAAGCCCGAATTAACCGCTGGGGCGTTTATCCAAACCAATCTTAGTGGTGGTCGGCGGTTGTACCGCTCTGGTGACTTGGCCAGGTACCTTCCTGGGGGTGATATTGAGTGTTTAGGACGCAAAGATGACCAGGTTAAAGTAAATGGGCACCGCATCGAGCTCGGCGAGATTGAGCAGGCAATTCTCCGAACGGGCGAGGTCACGGATTGCGTTCTCACTGTCTGGAAGCAGAACAACACAGCTCATCTGGTGGCCAACGTCGTTTTCAGCCCCGTTGACCAAGAGCTAGACATCCTCTCACCAGATCTCTTTGCCGATGAGACACAACGTCTCAAAAATAAGCTCAACGGCTTGGCTCACTATATGGTCCCGAAATTCCTTCTTGCTCTTCCCTTCCTTCCTCGAATGCCTTCTGGTAAAGCGGATCGCAAGCAACTCAAGGCACGTGTACAGTCTCTCAACCAGGGTGAACTTGCCAAATACTCTCTCAGCAAGCTTGGCACATCTGGGTCTGAAGCTATCATCCCTATTGTCTCCGCATCCCAGAAGATTCTTCAAGAGGCTTGGATTGAGATTTTGCAGTTACCCGACAACCAATTCGGGTTGGAGGCTAATTTCCTCAGCCTTGGTGGTGACTCCATCTCTGCCATCAATCTTGTCAGCTACATTCGACGCAAGGGTCTGAACATCAGTGTACGAGATGTCGTCAAATACCCTCTATTGGGGGTAATGGCCGAGTATCTTCAGCAAGAAACAGATCAAATATCAACTGAGACTGTCGTCTTTTCGCCGCCGACCGAGTTGGATGCTTTAATCTCTTCTGAAATTCAACAGCAGCAGTACGAATATGTGTACCCCAGTCCCGCTGGACAAGCCGAGTTCCTTACTCAGGGAGCTCGGGCCGACCCATTCTGGTGTTTAATGACAGTCCGATCTCTTGGAATTAATCCCGATATCTCTCAGTGGATTGATCTCACAAAGAGGTTGGCAGAGACAAACGAGATTCTGCGCACCACCTTTACCCAATTCCAGGGCAAATGGTATGGTGTTGTTCTGAATGACCCCACACCCGTCTTGGAAGTCTACGATGTCACAGAAGAAGCCGAGAAAAGACAGATACTCGACTTGATATGGAAAGATCGCTTTACCTTCGGAAAGCCTTTCATCCGCTACGCAGTTCTACGCTACCCCGATGGCGAGCACCAAATTGTCACAAAACTAGACCACGGTCTCTACGACGGCACCCTCCTCCGCGTCTTTGACGCCCACTTCCAAGCCTACCAACGGGGCGAGGAAGTAGAAAAATTCACTTCCTTCAAGGAATTTGCATTCCACATCTGGCAAGTCAACCAAACGCGCCCAACCCTCGACTTCTGGACCCAACCAGACAAAAGACCCATCACGTTCAACTATCCCAACGCGACAGAACCCTGTATCAACGCCTCGGTCGTGCACATAATCCACCTCGACTTCGAAACCTTCAGTCGCTCCAGCGGCGTGACAGTCTCAACACTCTTCCAATCCATCTTCCAAATCTGGCTCGCCCGTCGCAGCGGCCAGACAAGCATCGCTTTCGACTACCTCTACACAGGCCGCAACGTGGACCTAGAAGACCCGCAAGGCATCAACGGCACCTGCGCCAATTTCCTACCCATGCGCTCCGAGGTTGACGCCCAGATTCCCGTGCAGGACTATCTGCTGCGAACCCAGGACGATTTCTGGCAGTACACTGAGAACAACACTGTCGGAATTGAGGATATCTGTCAGGCGTGTGGAGTCCCGCGTGCAGAGGCAGAAAACCAGGCACTGTTTTTGTTCCAGCCTTTTGAGCCGGCGTCGCCGGCTGGTGCGAAGGAAGTGACGCAAAAGTGGGTTGTGATGGCTAAGTCCGAGGTGACTATGTTGCAGCCTTATGCGATTGTTTTCGAGGTTATTAAGACTGCAGATTTGAATGGGTATAAGTTGAAGTTTGCTTATGATAGCTCTGTGTGGGCGAAGGAGGAGGTGGAGGTGGAAGTTGGTGTTGTTGAACAGATGCTCTCGCGTGTTGTCGGGGATGCGAATGCTTTGGTTGGGGATGTTCTTCGAGAGGTATAAAACCCCACAGATATCACTTGTTTTTGTCTCTTGTCATTGCCCCATTGTTTCTTGTTTCTTGTGACTTTCACCTGCTTTTCGCCTTTTCTTCTTCGATTCACTCTCTGCTGGCTTAATAGTAACCTTACTATACCTTTCCTTTGTTTAATTGCTTCGTGTCTTGGAAATTGGTACATAGAATGATACACGAGCAATAAAAGTTTTGCAATAAATCTTCCGTCGAGTGTTTTTTGGATGTGTTTTTGGAGTGTCTTTTTAACATCCTTTTAGATGTCTTTTAAGATGTCTTTTTACATGTCTTTTACGCTTCTCAGTTTTATAGTTAAATGACGAAAATATACTAAAAACCATAGACCGTACAACCGACGCTTCTACATTGCACTACATAAAGTGGCCCGCATGCAGCCTGGCGAAACTGTGTTGATACACTCAGCATCCAGAGGTACTGGTCAAGCAGCGATCCAGATTGCAAAGAATGCTGGAGCAACAATTTTTGCAACAGTTAGTTCTGAGCTGTAAGCATTGCGATGGCGGATGTTGATGCGAATACGCCTTTGCACCAGTACGGGGTGGACTCGCTCGTTGCGGTAGAGCTGCGGGATTGGTTTGCCAAAGAGCTCCAGGCAGAGTTGGGGGTTTTTGAGATCCTTGGAGGAGCGACGTTGGCATCGGTGTCACAGCTGGTTGCGAAGAAGAGTAATCTCGTTCAGGCTTCATAGAAGAATAGATGAGGTTCGCTGAGATTAGACTAGAATTGATATTACAGTCTTCCAATCTGATTCATAGTATAGTAAACATATCCAGTTACGGTGTATGGGGTTTATAGAGCTCCGACGATTCCCATTCGGGCGGATCGCAGCAAGCCCCACTATGATCTCATCTCTCATCGCCTCTTGTCCAACAACGTTGGATTGTTTCTCCTTTATATTCAATTCAACAGCAATTATGACGAAGCTTACTCTCCAGTCAAAGCATCGATTGCAGTCAGGACATGAGATCCCCGTTATAGGATATGGGGTCAGTTACCCCGCAAACACATATACATACAAACATATGAACTTCAAGAGCAGAGCTGACACTGTATGACTACAGGTGTATATGATGTATGTTTGAATCAATGCCTCACCCTGAATCCCCTAACCTAACAACAGCCCGTCATCCGCAACTGAGAAGGCTACTCTCGAAGCCCTGAGGGTTGGATTCCGCCATGTACGTCCCCAGGAAGATCGCAAGAAAACCACACACTAAAGAGATATCAGGTCGACTCGGCAATCATGTACCGCAACGAGAAGCCCTGCGGAAAGGCAATTCTGAATTACAATCTGGATCGATCGCAGATCTTCTTTACGACCAAGATCCCGCCGGAATCAATGGGTTACGAGTCTACCAAGCGAGCTATTAATTCCAGTCTACGGGAAGCAGCACAGGAATACTTCGACCTGTAAGCTCCGATGGGAATCTAGCAACAGACCCCCTCATGGAATTGGAATCTACAATCTAACCGGTAAACCTAACCAACAGTATTCTAATCCATGCCCCATACGGCGGCAAGGAAGCCCGTCTAGGTTCCTGGGATGCACTAGTCGAAGCCCAGAAAGCAGGCAAAGTGAAATCCATCGGCGTATCCAACTACGGCATCCACCACCTCGAAGAACTGGAGGCTTACATCCAGGGTGGCGGGGGTGGCCAGATCGATGTCGGTCAGTATGAGCTACACCCGTGGCTGGATCATTCGGATATCGTGGAGTGGCTACAGAAGAGGAAGATTGTTGTTGAGGCGTACTCGCCTCTTGCGCATGGGAGTCGGTTGACGGAGTCTGTGTTGTTGTCTATCGGGAAGAAGTATGGGAAGACGCCGGCGCAGGTTTTGATTCGGTGGAGTTTGCAGATGGTAGGTAACACTGATTTGGTTCAGAGTAAAGGATATAGAATTAGGTATGCTAATATTCTGGTGTTAGGGATTTGTGCCTCTGCCCAAGTCTGCGACGCCGAAGCGCATTCGGGAGAATGCCGATGTCTTTGACTTTGAGTTGGCGGCTGAGGATATGAAGTTGCTTGATACAGGAGAGTATTCGCCCACGGACTGGGATCCGACGGTTGATGAGGATTGAAGTAGATGGGTGCAGGTTAGATGGGGTTAATGGTCGTAGAGTAGAAGAGGAATCTGGAGGAACGTTGGATTTGTCAGGCCCGTAGGAGGGGCTCTCCGCGGGGTGAACTTGCGACTTTCAACTTTCAATGTTCGAACTCCGACTTTCCTCTTGTTCCTTGACACTTACGATTTAGATTTCAATCCATCTACTTCTAAGATCTCGCCTATTTTTCCATCATGAAGTTGATTCTATCCAGTTCGTAAGTGGTGTTATTCGATGCGCCTCGGATTAAGTCACTCAACCAACCCTCACAGGAATATTATGCAAGCGGGACGGCAATCCGTCATTCGCCAGCCTCTGACGCAGAAATCAAACGTTGAGCTAATCAACTCGCTCCGATCGAACTTCCTTGCCTCTCAACAAACCGAAACGTCACCGGCCAACGGCACCGACACCGACACAAATGGTCGCTCAGCCGTATCGCATCCGCCCTCTTGGACCCTACAGACCGAAGATGGCCTCTATATCCCCGCGATCGACTTCTCACATCCCGGCCTGTCAGAGGAGCGCGACCAATACGATATCACAGTGAAGCTATTCTACCTACCGGGGATTCCGGTGTCAAGGCGTTGCGCACACACCAGGGAGGCAATTGATCTGGTATTGAAGGAGCTACACATCAAATCTATCGATCTACTGATTGTCTCGTTCCCGGGGATCCTGTTCGATGCAGACGACGACAGTGAAGAAGAAGACAACGAGATGAGCAATGGTGAACCGGACGATTTCGACAGCATGGTGCAGACATGGCAGGTGCTGGAGTCGCTGCACGAGCAGGGCGTGATCTCTCAGCTAGGCGTTGCTGAGTTCGGCAGCGAACGCCTGGCCCGCTTCCTGCCACATACCAAGGTCAAGCCCTCGGTCGATCAGATCAATCTTAAGGATTGCTGTGTCGTTCCTAAACATTTGATTCTCTATGCGAAACAAGAGCAGATTCAACTCCTAACCCATAACGACTGCCATGATATTCTTCCTGTCGGCACGACGCGGGAACTGCTCGGTCCCGCGGAGAAGAGCGGTGCGGGGATATTGGCTTCGTCTCCCGAGGCCAACGACGGCATCCAGGGAGATGTCGAGCCGCAGTGGGTGGTCAAGTACACGGCAGTCGTCAAGGATCGCGGAGTAGTCGAGAACAAGGGGTATTTCGCGTCGGCTGATGTCGGCACATGTCTCAAGGACCGGTCATGAATGCTTTTTTTTTTCTTTGCGTCATCAATAAGGACATTTGTCGTGACAAGCGTGGGCGTTTCTTTTTCGCTTTAAAAATCCACCATAGCTGGTGTGGGGAGGTTGCATCCATCTATAAAATCAAACGAGACTGGCTTAACCAAGCATACTCCTCTTCCGCCCTCTCATGCGCACATCCTCAAGCCTCTTCAGCGCAGAAAGAGCCCCCTTGTAGCTATCCCGGTAACCCAGAATGAACGCCTCGAACAAAGGCTCCGAGCGCGGATGCGTACTCCCAATCGCCCGCTCCAACACATACAAATCAACCGCCCGGTCCTCATCCTGATTGCTCTGCGACGCAAGACCGAAATCAATCAGCACAACATCCCCGTCCACAGAGGGCGAGCCAATGCGATCAACAGCATCACTTGGATCCGCAGACGGCCGCAGCATGAGGTTACTCGTAGTCAAATCTCCGTGCACAACACCAGCCTTGTGCAGGACACCGATGGCAGATCCCATTTTCCTCAGCAAGCCGCGCACACGCCCCTCTTCGTTTTCGATCTGTGACGAATCCAGCGAACCTTGGTTCTGCTTCATCCATGCTTCCCACTGCTCGAGAACTCCCCGCACAACCGGCCCATCAATCCACTCCATCATTAGCCAGGCGCCGCCCCACCCGCCTTCTGAGCCGCCGTGACCCTCCCAGTCCAGGGCTAGGAGGGCTGGAACGCTCACGCCCTCCCGTACGAGTTTCGCGAGGCATCGTGCTTCGGAGGTTATACGTTGGCGGGTGAGTCGGCGGTCGAGAATTGGGTGTCGGTAGGGTTTTGATGGGCGGATCTTGAGCGCGGCGGGGATGGAGGGGTTGAGGGAGGTGGTTTTGTAGAGGTGGGCTTCGGCGCCTTGAGCGAGGAGGGTTGGTGGTGGAGTGGTATTGTTAAAGGGGGAGGGAAGAGTTGGGGGTTTGTATTCTTCCATTGTGAGAGAGTTGGGGAGTTGGAGAGATTGAAAGATGGAAAGGGATGAAGTGAAGAGAGGAAAAAGTTGTTGTGGGGCGGATCTCGGAGTATAACCAGTTGTATACATAACCACTTGGGATTATTTAGATGAAGTTGGATTTAATATGTTAATATGTTATAGATGCTTAATAGATATCAATTGATACAGCAGAGCAGTTCGTAAATTAAATAATTTGAAATCATCAATGCATAGTATCTCATTATGTGGACGGATGAGTTCACCAACTCCTATATGTATACCCCCTTCCTTCAATATATCCTCCATATTAACAATTAAATCAAATCAGATGAAGATCCGGACGCACATTAGCCAACCGACAAGTGCCCTGATACATCCTCTCAAGAGTCGACGCCATAACCTCTAGATCAGTAGACTCCGCCGACCAATGCTTCAGCGTGCGAATCGACAGCCTCACCAAAGCAGTCCAATTCGTCGGTAAACGCACCTGCCACGTACTAGGGTCCCGACATGCCTCAAGCTGATATAAGACAGCCCCAAGGATGTGCACAGCACAGGCGAAGCTAGCGCGAACCACGTTCCAGATCCACTCGTGTCGGAACTGATACCAGTAGCTTGGTATCAGTGTGACGCAGTTGTCAATGGCTTTTTGGGCTAGGTGAAACACTTCGGCCCACATTGGGTTGTTCTTCCTGATGAACGTTGGCATCCCTTGAAAGTGCATCGCGAGGTAGAACGCTGGTCGGTAGATCCTCTCCAGTGCCATGTGGTATCGCCCGCGGAAGAAGAACCTCAGGTCTGGGTTGTCTTTTTGGGATTGGATCCCCGCTAGCGAGATTTCGTACCTTTTGGAAAAGTTAGCAAGGCGAGTCGGGGACTTCGGGGTTCGTGGCTCGTACCATGATGTTACAACACGCTCCGCGTCCATTGTTTTTCTTAGGAGATCGGGGATATCTTTGGTCCAGCCTTGCTCCCCTTGACGCCACATGTCAGACACTATGTCATTAGTGGTCCGGCGGTTACAGATAGACCCGATGTAGAATTTCCACCCTTTCTCTTCTTCGGTGCCATCCAATTCAAACCCTGGCTTGACTGCGAAATCTTGGTCTTCATCCATTTGGTCATATGAAGAAGGAGATCTGCGAGAGAATTTAGGGAATGGATCTGAATAGCCCAGGCTTTCAAGACCACTGCTCCAGAGAGGGAGCTCGCTCTGCATCTCACTGTTGGCAATATTTAGTCGATGGTCATACAAAAGCCCGGTTAAGTAAAAACCTACTGTTCCGCTTGGATACAGGACCAATATAATCTCGACTCCAGGTTATGGTAGTTGTCATCAGCGGTCCACTGCTCTCTACACAGCGATCGCAAACGAACTTCTAATCTGCAAGATGCCTGCTGGTAACAGAACCAAGCCTGCAAAGGTCGTATGGCATGTCTGTGGTAGCTTCCGGCAAGAAGGAAGCATTGAATATCTGTTGGAGTGGTGTGCAAGAAGCCAAATCTCTGCTTTGCAGCGTGGAAGTATGTCTCTGCCAAATCGAGATTGGCGTCTGACAAGGGTGGTGCTTGGAGTCCATCGAGATTCGCTGGCATGTCCTCCGCTAGGGGAACAAACTTTGATGATGTGCACGAAGCTAAGGCACACGCTAACAACTATACGAGATATGATTTAGTTCAAAAAAGGAACTGGACTTCCCACAAAGGAGCTGACATACCACTTGACACGAGGGACCATCCCATCCAAGACCCTGGACAGTGACCTCCTTGGCATAGCGGTCTAGACTGTCTAGATCGACTATCGGGTTTCTCCGGTGGCATAGTAGGAAATACTTCCTACAAAGTCTAGGGATCTCATCGACAAAGCTTCCGATCCCAACCTGCCGGGGTGCCTGCATACTGCGGGGCTCGTTATCCAGCGAGTCGAGTAGGAAGGATCGGATATGTTTCTCGGCTTCGGTGATCACCTTGTTGAAAATAGGCCATCGGAGCATGTTCTCCCCGGAGCTAGCCATGTAAAGGATTCGGGGATCATTATCGGTTCCCCGGTCATCGATACTAGCAGTGCTGGCGCTGGGTGGATTGCTCCCCAATGAATCAGCTACGGGGCTAGGGTTCTGCATGGCCAACTCAAAAAATCCTTCTTTGAGTGAACGAGTAGAGCTGGTGGAGCCTTCGGATTTGAAATTCTCCAGCAAACCGGCGATATGATTCAGTCGTTGGAGTACCTCATTGTTCGACGGGTTCCCAGGTTCAAACCCAACTCTAACAATACGGTCAAATGCTCAGTGTTCTATCCTCTTCACAGGATGATGTTATCTTACTGGTTCTGCTGTGGTGATGTTTCGGGATAGTTGCACTCCATCCCCTGCACGGCGCAGTAGCTACAGGTCGGCCTGGTATTGTCACATCGAGTCTTGCGCAGCCGACAGGTCTGACAGGCTGTCGGGGCTCGTGTTCGGATCTCACGCTTCCTAGCGATTCTTGGGTTGCCGAACTCCATGTTCATCCACAGTGCAAATCCGGGGGTTTGCTTTCGGGGAGGCCGGGGAGATAGATGAGGGGAGATGTAAAAGATTAAGTGCGACCCACGGAGATTCAGTAGTTTAGAAAGCAATACCCTCGAGAGATGGTCCACTGCCCACTAGGAAAACAAAGAAACATTCAACCCACCGAGTGCTTACAGACGTGGCGTGGCCAGATGAGGCAATGGGTAACAAAGAACTGTCGAGGCGATGTGATGGCCAAAGGTTAACACCCATGGCTGCCTCAGGGGTTTCACGATGCTGATTGGAGGACGATGCACTCCCTGGTCACTCGGGACATGGGTGTTCTCTTGGGTGATTTGATGCCTTTGCTTTTTGCCCCAATAAAGAGCTCCCCGACCTTTTCTCTGACCCTAAAAAGCCCTTGAATCTCGTATTTTTGGAACTTCTCTTTTCAGATGGCTGCAGCTGTTGGGAAAAAGAAGGAAATCTTTGTGATATCCCCGGAAATATTTGGGTATATCGGTACGAAGTACCTAAAGGTAGGTGAGAATCCGAGACATTCCGTTGGGGGATGTTGTGGACTTCTTGTACTTTGTGTAAAAAGGTTGAATATTTGAATATAATCTGAAGAGAAGCTTGTCCCTAGATCTTTCTACAGTCGAGTTGGAAATTAGCTTCACGTCCGTACACACCCCAACTTTTGTTTTTTGATATTGTGATAGGTTCAAACCTTGGGGGGGGATATTGTGGAGGGGATGTGATACTATACGGGAGTAATTGACTTCTGTTATATAGCCCTAATATCCACCCCGTAGACAATGTGGAATTAAAAGAGGACAATGAAAATGAAAGAAAACTATTGATCATATCGTCAATGAAATTCACCCGCTCAGGTAAGTACATGTACAAGCCTTGTCCACAAGGCCAAATTCTTAACGCCGAAATTAATGCACAGTGTCACAGAGTCACAGAATCACTTCATCGGACCTTCCTCTTAGGTCTCCTTGTCAAAGGCACTTCACAATGTTCGGTCCAAGCATCTTCAAAGACCGTCTTTCGTGGGCCAATCTGGCCTTGGTAGAAGTTCAGCTTACGCACAACCTCCATAGCACCTGTACCCAGTGACACCGTCTTGCCCATGATAATACATTCCGATACACCCTCAATGAGATCGGTGCGACCGAGGCCACCGGCGTCGAAAAGGTGATCCGCAGTTTTCTCGAACGAAGCAAGCTGAAGAACCGAGTCACGCATTTTGGCCAGACCGAAACGCGTAATACCGAGCACTTCACCCTTGTAGGTCATCACGTCGGCCAAAAGCTGCATGTGACGAGGATCAATGTCCATGTCCTTCATGACTTCGCTAATTTCGACGACGATCGTGCTTCGAGCGGCTTCAATACCCAGAACCTCTCGCGCCTCCATAATGTTGTTGGTCCTGGTGCAAAGACCGTCCACACCCATCGTAGTCATACACTCCCTCAATCCGTAGCCTTCCACGAGCAAAGTGTTCGTGGTCGAGGTCTCGTCCGTGCGAATGATAGCTCGGGTGGCACGTGGGTGACCCAGGATTTGGATGTTAGGAAGGATACGCTTCAAATGCTTCAAGCGGAGGAAGGGATCACCGCTGGTGGCGGCAATCTCCGTCTTAGAAAGACCTGCCTTGCTGGCCGGATCAAGATCCATGTGGACCTTGATTGAGGCTTGCTTGCACGAGAATTTGAGATCGCTTCCCTTGAAGCGCTTGTTGGTCTTGATCGCTTCGACGATTTGTGGCGTCGTGATCTCCAGCGCCAGATCCTCGATCGTTTTCCAGTTCAGAACAACTTTCAAGTAGGCATCATCGGGGGACCAAACCTCCGTAATGGAGTGGATGACGTCGTGAAGGAAGGTCTTTTCAATACGTCCTTTCACAATACGAGCAGCGATAGTGCTTTCTTTGTTGACCAATTCGCAAGCCACGACGGGAGTACTGATCTCCCTTGAGGCGTTGATGATTTCCTTGATACGAGGTACACCCTGCGTGATACTCATTCCGGCGACACCAGCGAAATGGAAAGTTTTCAGAGTCATTTGTGTTCCGGGCTCACCAATGGACTGGGCACCAACGGCACCCACAGCGTGGCCGGGCTCGACCTGGGCTCTCTTGTATTTCAACAGACAAGCCGTGATGAAAGCCCTCAGTGTGGTATCTGTCAGCTTGCCTGTATGATCTAAGCCCTTACGGCTCCGCTGGTCGGACGGGTCAATATCGCCACCCCGAGAGATCAATTTGTCGGCTCTTTTTTGCACGTATTCTTGAATTGAGTCAAGGAAGTCACGGGCACTCTCGAACTGATCGATACCGTGATCACTGCGGTCCATGTACGCCAGGTCATTGCCGAGTAAGTCCTTGCGGTTGAGCTTGGCACGTTCCTTTGAAAGCATCTGTTCACACACTTCCATCATTTCCATCGGCAACAAGCTTCGCTCGTCGTTGTTGTACGTAGTAGATTCTGAGTGAATGAATGTTCGATCGAAGTGGACGGGTTTGGCCTTACCCTCCATATCCACGGGATCCAACTTGTCGTCACCATACTGGAACTGAACGATGGCAGCAGACGAGTTACGGACCGTGTCATCATACATCGATGACAAATCTTCGAGTGACTTCATCAGACGACGAGACATGTAACCAGTCTCAGCTGTCTTGACAGCTGTATCGACCAGGCCTTCACGACCGGACATAGCGTGGAAAATGAACTCTGGGGGCTCCAGCCCGGAGAAGAAACTGTTGCGAACGAAACCCTTTGACGGAGGCTGTCGTGCATTCTTCGGGAAATGCGGTAGGGTACGATCCTGGAAACCGTCCTGTACACGCTGACCACCGATAATTTGTTGACCGACAAGGGCAACCATCTGTGACACGTTGATACTAGAACCCTTGGATCCAGAAGTGGCCATGATCAGGGGCGAGTTGTACTTGCTCAGCTGCATAATACACTCGTCACCAGCTTGTTGACGGACCTTACTGAGAATACCGGAGATCTGGTTCTCCATGGTTTGCAATTCGTCACATCCAGGATACTTCTCCAGAGTGCCCGCCTTGTACTTAGCAATGACTTCGTCACACTGCGAGTACGCTGCCTCAACAAGATCGTTCTTCGACTGAACGAGTCCTGCACTAGGGTAGACATCTCCGATACCAATTGAAAAGCCGATATTGGTGAACCATCGGGCGGACAGTTTTGAGAGACGGTTCATGCCCTCGGCTGCTGCCGGTGGGCCAAAATCTCTAAGCATAATGTAGAAAACATTGTCTTTCTTTCCAGAACCAATTGTAGACTTGTCCATTACACCACACATGACCTCCGAGTTGCGGATAACCAACCAGCCATCATTGGGGTCCAAGTCCTTGGGACGACCATCCTTGGGCATCTTGAACTCACGGCATGCGGCATCCAGGTTAACCATAACAGGATCGGATGTGTTGGGGCGCATGAGAATGTTAAAGACTTGTTTGCCAGTCCACATCATCTGGGGCTTCAAGACTGATGGTGGTGGGAGATCGAATCTTGTTTCAGGGCCAAGCATATAGAGACAGATCTGCGTGAAGGAGGCACGGTCATAGAAGTTGTCTTTGCTGCTCAACACGTAGGCGGCACTGATGAAATCCTGGATGGCGGAAATGATAGGCTCTCCGTTCTTGGGTGTGGCCAAGTTGTTCTTCACGCCCATTAGCTCCATCGCTTCTGCTCGGGCTTCTTCGGTCTGCGGCACATGAAGGTTCATCTCGTCTCCGTCGAAATCGGCGTTGTAAGGGTTACAGACACACTCGTTCAATCGGAAAGTCCTATGGGGTCGGATTTTGGCAAAATGAGATAGAATACTGAGCTTGTGGAGGGAAGGTTGTCGATTGAACAGGACAATGTCGCCGTCTTCGAGATGACGCTCAACCAAATCTCCTTCTTGCAGCGCATCAGCCATCCGCTGAGTGTTACTGTACTTCAACATCTGTCTGAATCCGGTTCCTTTCTTGACGATCAAGTTTGCTCCGGGCCATTTGTTGGTACCATTGCAAATCCGTTGCTGCAGTTTCTCCTTGTTGTATCTAGTCACTAGTTCGGGATAGGTCATGATCTTTGCCACCAGCTCCGGAACAGCGACCTCATCAACTCGCAAATTTGGATCGGGTGAAATGACAGTTCGCCCAGAGAAATCAACACGTTTTCCTGACAGATTTCCACGGAAACGACCTTGCTTTCCCTTCAAGCGTTGGACGAAACCTCGGATTGGTTTTCCGAGATCGGCTTTGTTAAGCCCAGGCACATCGCTGTTGATGTAGACAGCAATTTGAAGCTGCATGTAGTCCCAGCACTCCATAATTGTCTGAACAGGAGCGCCCTTAAGCAGAGCATTCTTAAGATTAATATTGCTCTGCACAATGTCACCTAGCTTGGCGGTCAAGTCATCTTCTGTAGATGCACCATCTTGTCCCACGGAAGGTCGAATGCAAACCGGTGGAGCTGGGATGAATTGCCATAGGAACATCTCCGGGCGGGCCTCCTTTGGATTCATGCCAATCAATTCACAGTCAGAGTCGGACATTTTCTTGAATAGCTTAAGAACACGAAGGGGGTTCATGTCATCCTGCGCCTTTTTGAAGTGTTTTTCGACCTCCGGGTTTGCGCCTCTTGCCTCGAGGAAAGAGTTATCAAAGACATCCTTGCTGATCGGTGTTTGCTTTTTGACGGAAACCGAGACATTGAATGCGCGGAATTTGTCGTGGGTAATCTTTAGAGCACTTGTTCCGGTCTTCTTCACGACACCATTGATCGCTCCGCAGTATGTGCATGTACGGGTTTTCCGACACCGTTCATTGATGCGCTTTGCGATCTGTGTCCGGCGTAGGTTGTCAAGGCCCGGTCGGCGCATATCTCGAAGATAGGTACGGCGCTCCGCCTCGGGGAGCAGAATGTTCGAACATTCTTTGCAAATTTCCTGAAGGATCGAAATGACGCGCTTGAAATAACCGACATGAAAAGATGGTAGGACCAATCTCACATGGCCGAAATGACCATTGCAGTCTTTGAGGTTGTTTCCACATGTTGCGCAAGAATCAGTTTTGTTCGAGATACCCATGCGCTGGTCGAGAGGTCCATTTGCAACGACCGTTCGGGTCTGATCCAAGTCGAAAAACTTTCGGTCAGAAACTTCCACCACTGCTTGGCCGACAATGTCATCGTTGGTTCTGGAAACATAAATCTTCATTAGCGATCAAGTCTGCGACAAACGCTTGTGACAAGCACATGTGAGTGAACTGCGTACAAGACACCAAACTTCAGTTCTTTGATCACTTTGGGAACGCTGTCAATAACCTGGGCCTTGCCCAGGTCTACCTGCGCACCCTCTGGAGGCTGCATGGCCGTCGTCAAATGCGGAGCATGGCAGGGTGACTCAAGGTAATGCGATCGGCATAGACGGACTTCAGCCGCCAAGAACAAGATTTCAGGCTCGAAGAAGAATTAACTCCGGTATTATGTGGTAGATCCGCAAGTAGAAGCTACCGATCTCGAGCGAGGCTGTTTAGACGCAATGAAGTGAACTGAAAGTGAGCAGAGGAAGAAGTTGTATGGCGGGGTTTGACATGAACTTTTTTTCTGCCGGTGAAGCTCTCACCGCTGGCCCAAGCGGCCCGCAGGTTTGTATAAATCCATGGGATGTCTCTATACGAAAAGATATCTCAGAAATAATGTTATACAGTGTATTTGGTTGCTAATTTACATATTTATTTCGCCAAGAATGCCTGGAAAGCTTTGTGCTCAATCACCACGTTTCCAACTGCTCGCAACCTCTTGCGGCCTTCTTTCTGCTTCTCGAGCAGCTTTCGTCGCCGACTTACATCACTAGCATGCAATTTTGCCAGCACGTCTTTTCGGTAAGGCTTGATAGTCTCACGAGCGATGATTTTCTTACCGACAGCAGCCTGGATGATGATCTCGAAAAGCTGCCGGTCAACATGCTCCTTGAACTTGGTTACCCAAATTCTGCCTTGTCGGCTCACCTGGCTCGAGTGCATAATCCGCGTTACTGCATCCACTGGCTCTCTGTTGACCAATAGTTGTAGCCTGACAATATTGCCAGCTCGCCATGCAGATTCTTCGTAGTCCAGGCTGGCATAGCCTTTGGTGCCTCCTTTCAATTTTCCAAAGAAATCATCAACCAAATGGGCCAGAGGCAGCTCGTACTTCATAATGACCTGAGTCGCTGTGAAGTATTCGATGCTTTGTTGCTCACCACGGTTGGCCTCGCAGAGCTCGATCACCTTTCCCAAGTACTCTTCTGGGAATGTCAGAGTGACCAAAACATACGGCTCTTGAACCTCGGCAACTTTGAGTCGTACGCTATCATCATCGGGAAATTTGGCGGGATTGGTGATAACCTCTTCAGAGCCATCTTTCCACACGATCTTGACTGGGACGGAGGGTGGTGTAATGATGATACTGGCGCCGTGCTCCTGTCGCAGGCGGTCTTCAAACACGGAGCAGTGAAGGGTTCCTAAGAAGCCCATACGGAAACCGGCGCCTAGAGCCTCGGAAGACTCTTTCTGTACTGTGATGCTTCGATCATTCAAAACCAGCTGGTTGATGCTGTCCTCCAGGTGTTCGAAGAGATCTGCATTCACTGGATATACAGCTACAAAGACCATCGATTTGGGCTCTTCGAATCCAGGCAAAGGCTCGACGATCTTTTCATAACCGACTTTTGTGAAGGTATCGCCAATCTTGGCCTCCTTACTCCGCTTCATGCCTGGGTTGAAGTAAATGTACCCAACCTGACCTGCACGGAGAACAGTTTGTGCGGTCTCGGTTGGATACATGATGCCGACTTCACCGACAAAATATTTGAGACCGGTAACGAAGGATATAAGCTGCTGACCTGCACGCACCTCGCCGTCGAAAACACGGACCAAAAGGATCACGCCCTTGTAGGAGTCGTACCAGGAATCCACAAGGAGCATACGAAGGGGTTTCTTGGAATCGCCGATAGGTCTAGCATACAGTCAGCAAAGAAACAGCACTTCGGGAAGCCACTGGTTGAACGTACGCAGGGATCTTGTCCACCACTGTCGGTAGCACAGCCGGAACATTCAATCCAGTCTTTGCCGAGACCATCACCGCGTTTTCTGTATCAATCTCGAATGTGTTTCTTATCTGCTCCAGAGCCCGCTCTGGGTCCGATGAGGGGAGGTCAACCTTGTTGAGAATGGGAATCAACTCAAGGCCTTGTGCAAAGGCCAAGTAGAAATTGGCGACTGTCTGCGCCTGAACACCCTGACTGGCGTCAACCAAGAGGATTGCGCCACCGCAACTGGCATAACTTCGCGACACCTCAGCACGGAAGTCCACATGTCCAGGTGTATCGACCAAATGTAACAAGTAATCCTCTCCTTTATGGTTATAGATCATAGTACACGTCTGTGCTTTGACCGTAATTCCTCGCTCTCGCTCGACATCAAGTTTGTCCAAAACTTGCTTGTTCGTGCCCGCTTCAATTGTGCCCGTCAATTCGAGTAATCGGTCGGAAAGCGTACTCTTGCCGTGGTCAACGTGTGCAACGATGCAGAAATTGCGAAAACGTTCGATTGGGATCGCGGCAATTCTCTTCTCGAGGTTTACGTCGAGTTTTATAGGATTGGTTTTCGAACGTCCATAGTAAATCGTCGTAGTAGAGAAACTCCTTTTAAACCTATACGAAGAAAAGACAGTTGGGGGTCGGAGACTCGCCGCCTGGCATCTCGGCGCTGCGCTCAGCCATCGGCCTAACTGCAGACATCCTCGCATTGGGACTTCTGCGGTGGCATAGGAGGGGCTGATGGTATGCAAGCGTCGGAATCGAAGTGTATCCGCGGGGCAATTAGCGCTTTAGTGCTGGTTGGTCTCGTCACGATTTGCGGAGAAAAAACGGACGCGCGGGCGGTGACTGTTTATTGCTGCGGTGACCACTCGACATAAACAAAGCTCTACCTTTCTTTCACCTTCACAGTCCTCAGCTTGCTGCTATCTACAAGCTATCATGCCGGAAACCAAGGAAAAGTCAAAGGTGCACAAGCTGTCAATCAAAGGTCCATATCCATCGTCTACTTATGGTGGTTGTACAAAGCTTACAAGATAACAGGATCGGCCAAGCTTGTCTCCGAATTCGTTAGTCGCCCTTTTGGTTGCGTCAATGATGTTTGAGTACTAACAGTCTCAGTTTGAATACTCGATTAATTCAATACTGTAAGTTGCTAGTCGTATGCAGTCAAAGACATTGGCTGATCGCATTGGGTGTTCAGCTTCCAACGGGGAGTTTATCCTCCTGAGGATTTCACAACGTAAGTGTCCCCTCTCAACTTTGCCCACTACAGTGCAGCAAGCTTATTGGAAATAGGATTAAAAAATATGGCCTCAATATGCTGGGTTCGTGAACTGTGTTCTTCTTAATCGACATCGATAGCCCTAACCTCATAGCAGTTTCGGCCGATGACCAAGTCAAAGCGTACATCAAGAAGATCATGTCTCAGTTGAAGGAATGGATGCAGGGGGGAAAGATCTCGAAGCTTGTGGTAGTTATCACGAGCAAGGAGACCGGTGAACATGTGGAGAGATGGCAATTCGACGTATGCATTTGACACTCTCTCACCTGGGTCCGTGGCTAACTATGTCGTGATGGAATAGGTCGAAATCTTCGGCAAGCAATCCAAAAGCAAGAGCTCGCAAAAAGCCGGCGACAAAGAGAACAGTACACCGGGGTAAGTCTGTTCACTGTGAGCTTATTTTGATCACCCCACTAATCCAACGTCTTTGTGTCTTGAAGAGATGCAAAACCCGCCGAACCTATCGAGAAGACCGAAAAGCAAATTCAGGAGGAGATCCAAGCCATCTTCCGCCAAATTACCGCCTCTGTCACCTTCCTCCCCGTCCTTGATGGTGACTGCACTTTCAATGTGCTTGTCTATGCCGACGCTGATTCAGACGTGCCCGTGGAATGGGGCGACAGTGATGCCAAGGAAATTAAGAACGCAGAGAAGGTCCAACTAAGGAGCTTCAGCACAAACAATCACCGAGTTGGGACTCTGGTCAGCTACCGGCTGGCGGATTAAGCTTTCGATGGCACATTATGATCAAATACGAAGGATACTATGGATTGGCGTTTCAGGAAAGGATCAAGGACTTCTTCCACTTATCATATCAGAAACTTGATATTTGTTCTCAATAGAAATCAAGGCCCCTTGGTTGTATCATGTCTAGTATAAGACCAAGGCAAGCTCTCTCGCTTCGGGAACCACTTATTGCAATTATCACCCCCATTATAGCGGATTAGGTCAAACACCACGTTTTCCAGTCCCAGATGGGAGAATATACCGTTTTCCATTCCACAGGACCAGCCTCGTCGCACCCTTTTGCCTACCAGATCCGGGTTCACTCCGTAAAGATCTTCTCTCCAAAGCCCAATCCCATTCATAGCCTCGCCTCGGGTCAAGGTCTCTAGTGGGGTGATTTCCACTGGTGGATTGATACCTATCACAGCAACTTTGTGCGCATAGTCTTCTTGTTCCGGACCAATAGGGACGAGTCCCACGGCTGGAAAGTGGCATTGCATGAATCGAGCGCGCTTAAATTCGTGCGTGACGACTGTGACTCTCCGCGGATAAACGCCCGTGTATACCCGGAACTGTATTAGAGAAAACAATAGATTTTGATATGAATCTGTGGCGTTGGTTTCTGCGATGATTCTTAATGGGTCAATTGTAGAGGTAGTGGACATGTCTTGGAAGTAGTCGTTATCTCTGACCAGATTCTGGATGTTGCTATACATTAGCTTTCTGAGTGGCCCGTTATAGGGAATTTGGGCGCCTTACAAGGTAAGATTGACCTTCACTGAGCTCAGTTCTAGGCTTCTTGGTAGGCCCTCTGTTCAATGGATCAACGAACAGAAATTGAAAAGGATATGATGAAAAGCTCTTACCCAGAAAACACCAGCAAGCCGTGAGAGTCGTCTGCTAGAGCTTTCAACCCAGCTTTGACATGATCGATGAACGTGGGTGTTTCTCTCTTTTGGAAGGGCTCAGTCAGCCTGCTCAGTGCATCAGATACTGTGTTTCATATAAAGCGCTTATTCTAATCACACTAACCACTCGTTCTCTGAAGCTCCAAGTTTTGAGCCTCCAGTGTAAATGGCGTGGCAGCAGACAACAATAAGATGGTTGCATATAGTAAAGTCGGCATCTGGGTTTGAGGCCATATTGATAGATTTTGGTAGATCAAGCGAATGGGTTGGGGTTTACCACAACGCAAGACATATAAACGATGCTAATAAATTATGGACGATTATTGAGAATAGCCTTGGTGAACAACTTCAGCTTCCAACCTTGAATGTGTCTTTGATAGTCAGACGAAGAGAAGGGCGGTACAGTTTTACCACCAATCTCTCTCTTTACTTCCCGCGGCTCCACCCATAGCGCACTAGTCCCTATTAGGATATCTTTCCGCCATCCTCGCATCTCGAAGTACCTTTCAATAACTTGGCGTAAATTACAGTAATCTCATCTATCAGCAAAATGCTGTCTCGTCCTAGGCGAAATGGTCACAATCATGTTATCCTTACATTTTCTATCTAGTATTTAGTCTCTACCTCCTATACGGCCGCAAATATGCAGGGAATTTTCATCTAGGAAGGTCGAGGTGGCAATATATTCGATGGAGACGGCGTAAGTTTAGTTTATTTCTTTATGTACGAGGCTGACGTGCTCTTTATCGTCATGCGGTATCGGAAGTCCGTTGATTATGTGGCTATCGTGCGTATAGCTAGCTATCACGGTTCATTCAACCAAACTTATTTGGTCTCTTCTTTCCCTTCCTCGGCAATCTTCTCCACCTGTTCCTTTCGCTTCTTCAGCACATTCTGTATTTCCTCGACGGTCTCTTTCAAGACGTTTTCTGCCTCGCTGCCCCTCTTTTGCGCGATAGCCTGTAGTGACTGCAACTGAGGGATGACGCTGGAGCCGCCAGGTACCATCTTTAGCCACTTGTCCAGGTCGCCCAAGCCGCTTTCCTTCGCTTGACCAACTTTCTCTTTGATGTACTTCTCCACATCCTCCATCTTCCCAGAAGAAGCACTCTCCTTGACAAGACCCCACAGATCTTTAGCATTGCCCTTTTTCAAGGTATCGGCATTGTCTTCAACCATTTGCTTGAGCTTGGGGCTCTTATCAAGGTATTGCTGAGACTCCTCGAAACCCTTCTGCCATGCCTCATCCCCTAGCTTTTCGAGCTTTGTCTTCTTCTCTTGAATGAGGTTTTTGATCTCTTCAGCCGACTCAATACTTGCACCACGCTGCACAATGCTGGAGATTTGTTGCCAGGTTTGATTCACTTCCGTCTTCGCTTGGGGCCCATAAGCCTCACCCATCTCCTTTAACTGATCAAAACTACCACCAACCTTCTCCTTGAGTTGAGGGTGATTGTCGAGAACATTTTCCACTGCGTCGCCAGCAAGATCGAACAACTGCTTCAAATGTTTCTGTAGCACGCCCAGACCCTTTGACGCTGAGTCTATGCTCAATCCTTCTTTCTTCGAGAGATCATTCAGCTCGGTATATGCATTTTTGACCACTTCATCAAACTCCTTTCCGTGATCGTTTCTAATCTTATCGAGGTCGTCAAATGCGGTATCGACATAGCCGCGCGCGCCAGGGATGAAGACAGCATAGCTTTTGGCCGTATCCCTTAACCAGCGGAATGCCTCGTTTGGTTCAGGGGCCTTCTGAGCAATTGTCTGCTTGGCCTGGTCGATGTATGCTTGTGTCTGCCTGCTGGTGTTCATAAGCGTCTTGGCTCCGGAGAAGTGGTACCAGGTGTACCCCGTAAGGAAGGCGACAGTCCCACCAGCAATACCGCCAATCAAAGCGGGATTACTACTACCAGTGGAAGCCGCATTAGATGCGGTGGATTGAAAGCGAGAGTTGACGAAACGAGCTTTGGGTTGAAATTGCTGTCTGGCGGACCTTGCTGCAGGCCCTAGAGTTCGTCCGAGCATTTTGAAAATATTGGAAATATAAGGTAAAAATGGGAAGGAGGAATATAATGTGCAATATTGTCGACAGGTCAAGTTAAAATGTAGGAATCACTTTTAAGGAATTGACTTTCAGGAATATGGGGTTTAATAGGAAGTAGTCTCGAACAGCGAAAAATCAATTCCAGTAACATTTCGCGCCTCCTTTTACTGGTGATTTGCCGATATGACGTGGGCTTCCAAGTTATAGGCTCCCTTCCCTGGTGGCGCTACAAAGGTCCACGCGAACCTTGACCGTCGCCCAGCAAAATCAGGTATAGTAATGAATTTGGTTCACTTTTAGGATATTAGACGTCATATACTACATTCTTAGTAAGAGCAACCTGCGAAACCCAATAACGCAACCAAATGACGTCATCAGGATTATAGCTATGTCGTTGATCTACCGATGCCGTAACCTTGTCAGATTGGTGATTGCTGATTGGTCTAAGCAATAAGAAGGATTATGATAGAATTAGAGGAGACATTAACGTGTCAAGTGTTTGGAGGTGACTGACATCGTATAAGTGACGGAAAGATGTAATAACGTGCTAGATATTGTCAAAGAGAGAGAGAGATTGGTGGTAAAACTGATTTCGAATATCACTGTAAAGGATGTTGATTGACTCCCTCCCCCGCCAATCCTTTGATTCTCCAAGACATCAACCTTCACATCCCATCAATGGGCGGATTTCAATTCCATCATCCCAAATCTCCTGCGGTATATATTCTTTTTCTCTACATATACATTTTGCCATTCCTGGCTATGTGATATGAGCCCCCAAGCTATCGGCACCTCGTCTTCCTTCGTCGTTAAATCTAGCCAAGCAAGTCCTGCCGAGTTTCGGGCTTCTTATTTTTTGAGATCGGAGTAGACTTCAAGTCGAACGGGCCTATCGGTCTAGTCCATTGTTTCCCAGTCTTCTCTTCTTTACCTACATGCACGGTAAGGGGTTTCTGTTCCTCCAACTCGGGCCAATCCATATACTCCCCGGGGTACATAGATATGGTGACCTTGAGTGTTGAGCTAACCCAGCAGCTATTTTCTTGGGCCGTGGGGACTGTAGAAACGATAATCACCACCACTGAGACAATTTGCGTGTACAAAGCTGCCTTTCCGAACTGATGACATGCACCGCAAAATCGACCCACCCTATCCATTGGCACGCCTGATACATGTATCGGTTCGGTGGCTGGGGATTGACTGCAAATGCCAATTTCGGCAGATACGCGGGGACTGCAAGAGTGATGACCTTCGAGTCCTCTGTCAACACAATCACCTTGGCAATTTTGTTTGGGTCTTGAGGCTCGATGGGTATTTTGACCTCCTCCATGGCTCGTCCCTCCTGGCAAAGGCTCTCGGGTCTCTTCATTGACTCGTCATACTTGGCTCTCTTAGCCGGGTAACTTGGGGCTGCTTCTTGTGCTTTCCGGATTTTCGCATCGATGCCGGCCTGATTTTGTGCTACCATTATACATCGCACTACCACTGAAATTCCCATGGCTATCACATTGGAAAATCCATCCCACCAGTCCGCGGCCAACACAGTCAAGGCGATGAGCACCCCGTGCACCGGCAACCCAGCAAGCAAGAAGCCGACGATGAACTCTCTCCATCTGCGCGGCCGCTCCATGACCTGCCATGTGGCAATACTCCGGACTTGTTTGAAGTCCTGCGTTTGCAGCCATCGCGAAAAACCAGCCGGCCAGCTCGGTGGTCATGATCCCCGCTGATATGTTGTAGCGAACAAATCCCGGGTTTCTTCGTGGTGAATCGGTTTCCAGCCATTACAAAGGCAAACAGTAACGGCAGATATTTAAGGTATATGCTCGTCACAAGTCGCCCGCGTCGGAATGGGCAAAGAGAGAATCTGGGACAGCACAGGCGTCTCGTAGGGACTGAGATGAATCCATGCTTGTAGATGTTTTCCCGTTAGTTCCGATGTAAGCCGCTGCCTAGGGGTTTTATGAGAATCGGGGACCTCTATCATTGGTCCGACGTTTCCGCTATCACTAAGAGATAAAGAGATGAAAGAGACCATTGAGCTGAAGATAATCCTTGGCTGTGAAAAGAAATAATAATATCCTAATTGTACATGTTTGTCATCGCCCTCAATCCATGCGCCATAATATCAGCCCCCAGATATGGAGACCCCTCGCTAAATGCATCCGCGAAGCGAGAAACAAAGGCGAAACAAGTGGAAAGAAAAGAAAACGCCTGAACCCGAGGGGGTCATGCAAAGGATTTTGAAAATCAGAGGACGAATCAATATGTGCCGACATCCCAGACCATGAAACGCAACCGTGCGATGAACGCCAACCAGAGAAATTCTAGTTGTAAAATGCATATCCATGACCCAGTACAAGATAATGAAGAAAGCATAGACCAACGTAGTAATGCATAGATAAGAAAAAGGAGGATTGTTCCAATGTAGAGAACAGCAGTACAAGGGTATTAGTCGAAAAGGAACCATGTGGCGATAACGTGTTCTCATTTAGAGAGGATCATGGCGGAAAGTACAGTTGTCGCCCTTGCGACATTTGCCCTCAGCCCAGAATCGGCAAGCGACGAGTCCCACCTTATACTGTTTCAAAAGAGTTAGCCAATTGTTCATAAAATGCTGGACACGCAGTGTACTTACAGGCTTGGCCTCGCTGGCGCCAACTCTGGTCCGTTTCGAGCGGGTCCACGAGTCGGAGTTAGACTGGTCGTCATAATAACCGCCCTCGCGACCTCGCTTACGCTCTGGGTCTTCATAGTCGTTCCCTTGCTGTTGGAATGGGAGAGCACCAGCTTGTTGGTTCTGTCCACCGAATTGTGCGAACATGGCGCCGAGATTGGGTGCCATTGCTGATTGCGATTGCTGGGGCTGGGAGTATGCAGGCGGCGCCTGCATTTGTTTCATAACATTCAAGATCGCGTTGAAGTCAAGGCCTTGAGGCTGTGGAGTGGGTACCGGTGGAGCCGGGGGGACCTGAGATTGAGGTTGTTGCTGCCGGAACATGTTGATGGTCCTCTCAAGATCCGGCATGCCCCCGGGTTGAGTTGCCTGCGGCGGTGGGATTGGCTGTGCCTGTCCAGGCACACCCTGGATGATCTTGAGTAAGTTCGAGATGTCAAACCCACTGTCTCCGGGAGTCGATTGCTGCGGTTGGTGGTTTTGCTGGGGAGCCGCAGGCTTGGGGTTCAAAAAGGCGTAGTAGCGTTCCTGGCGGACCTGTAGTAACTTTGTTAGTATTGAGTTTTACTGCTGTCAGAAGTATAACATACCTTGACCATGTCAGGCAACTCTCCGAAAGGCAAGACATCGGTAACAAGATCGTCGGGGCCAGGATTCGGTGGCTCCTTGGGTGTGTCAGGCATGTCGGCAGGAGAAGTATAAAAGACCATAAGGGTAGTAGATTCCCGATGCTCCTGAGCCTCCCTCTCGGGACTCGTTGGCAGCTGGGGGCCACCGCGTTTGACGAAACTGCCGTCTTTTGATTCCTCGAAATCGAAATCGACCACTATGATGGTCAGTAAGAATTTCAGGTATATTTGGGAGGAATAACCTACTCGAAAGAGTATAACCATCTTGAAATACGGTCTCGCGAATACCGCCAAGGTCCTCTTCTTCCAATTCGTCCATATCTTTGTGAAGCTTAAGGACACTACCTTCGCCTTTAATGTCTCCCCGTGAACGCAATGATCCGTCGCCGGGACCTAACTCTTCATCAGGATCGTGGGTGAATAATCGAACTTCAGTAAGAGCATCATCCGGCTTCCAGGTTACGCGAAGTTTACGGCGCTCTTCCTTACGCAACCTCTTTGCGCGCTCATCTTCAGTCTCCGGGGGCTGGTCTTCGGCAGGCTTGGGAGTTGGTGCCTGCTTTGGTTTGTTCAAGTCGGCCATGATGTCTCCGAAGGAGAAAGATGGTTTTGGAGCGGGCGTCTTTTCCTTTTCGGGAGCAGCACTATTTGAAAAGTTAATACAGATGAATCTCAGAAACACTCTCTTCGTGGGTACATACGTTGGCTTTGCTGCAGCGGCGGCGGCAGCCCTATCCGCATTTGTGGTCCCGGGTCTCTTTGACGCCGAGCTTAGAGTGCCAAAAGACTTGTTGGCTTGGGAGCCACGATATTGGGTTTAGGGCGGAGCACTGCAGCGCCGGTTGGCTTAATACTTTGTGCTCCCTTGGCCGGTCCATTACTTGCGGGTGCAAGTTTATTCGCATCCTTCAAGGTATTGGCAACTGCCATTCGTTTTGCGCCAGGTTGCAGATTGCTATCCGCCTCGCGGGGTCGCTTCACTCCAGCGTCTCCCTTTGGCTGATCTGCTAAAAGGCCGTTTGGATTCGACTCTTCTTTGGTGGGCTTTTCACCCTCCTGCTTACGCTTCGTAGAGGCCGCAGCATTATCCAGGATCTTCTGTGTGAGGTCCTTAACCTGCTGGCTACCTTTTTTGAGGAACTTAGGCAGCAATTTGGAAAGATTGGTCTTTTGCAACATGTCTTCGGTCAAAGTCGAGAAACGCGAAAAGAGCTTATTCCATGTCAGCCAATTTATTCGACACAAGAGACAAGCGTCAAACATACCGAAAGCAGATTAATAGTCAGAGTCCCAGCAAAGTCTGCTGCTTGGAAACGGTCGACCAAGAAGGAATATAGAGCTGCCACAATCATAGGGTGCTCTCCCAGCCTACATGAAATTAACAATCAGTCATTTGAGCTCAATTATGTCAATGTTTCAAGTTTGAGTCATTTTCTAGATAGGAGTGATTCCCCCTCAATGAGGTTCACAGATAGCTTCCTAGGGGCATATCTGAGACTCAATATGATGGGACTCTTTTGCTCCATCTGGTATTCTTATATATGTGCCCAGGACACGCATGTATAATCAAGCCTTACCACCGGCGAATAGAGCGATGGCCCTTTATTCTAGCCCGTGACAGTGCTGTCATATACATGCTTCCAGGAATATTTATAGGTGTTCTCAAATAGCTTCAGGATTTGTGACCATCACAGCCAGAAAGGGACGAAAGATATAGGGGTTGGGATGGGAGAGGGGAGGGGAGAGGGATACGTACTTCTCAACAATATTGGGATGACCCATTTCCAATGTTGTGGTCGCAATTTTATCCATGGTGCGACGTTGGGAGATGACCTTTTCCTTGAGTTTGGTTGCTTTCTGGTTGTCCTCTTGGTTTTCGGCTAGTTTCATCGCCTGAACTTGTTCCTTCCATGCATCTCTCAATGCTTTAACAAGATCCTTGTAGGCTACCAGGGCATTCTTGACCTTCTCCGGGCCAGGCCATTTGTTTCTTGGTGACCATACGGCTTGGAGAGCATCATACTGTGCTGCAGCCTCGGGCTCAGTCGGGCGGATCGGGGGGATAGGAGACGGTTCATCGGGTGCTTCAATCTCAAGATCGGATTCATCCGAACTTTCACTTTCCGAGTTAGATACAGTTATCGGTCGGCCAGAAGTCTTCTTCGTTTGTTGCTTGGTATAAGCTCCCTTCTTATTGGTGATTACAACTTGCGGTACTGGTAATCCTAGGAAAGTCAGTATTAATCCCAATGTAATGGATTTCAACTGGTCTGGGCATACCTCTAGGCGGAGGCACCGGGTTGCCAGTCGGTGCCATTTGCGACTGAACTGAAAGATCATGCTGGTAGTAATTGAATAGCCTGGCCCTTGAAACAATCAGCCATTGCATTTTAGACAAACGCAAACTAAAATGATAACTTACTGTTCACTCCCTTGTCTTTGGAAGTCCGCAGGGATTCCCTGAAGAAAGTTGCTTGCCAACGAAGACTGCTGTTGATTGAATGCCTGCGGGGTGGAATTTAGGAACTGAGGATTAATGGTGACATTTGGGTCTGAATCAGGGTAATCGTTGGTCAAATCAATTGTGTTTTGCTGCCTAGAGTTAGGGCCACGGTCAACATGAAGGGCATTTAGGGTCGGCTTACCAGCATTTCTGAGGAGTAGCTTTGAGGTAAAGGGTATGGAGAAATTGATGGCTGGGGTTGTTGCTGTGGCCGTGGCTGTATTCTCTGTTGCGTAGGTGCTTCAGAGAAAGTGTCTGGCACTGAGATGTGTGGGTGTTGTGGATGGAAGTAATTTGGCTGGTAGGAAAATGATGGGAATGCCGAAGATTCGGACGCACTCAGGGGACGAGAGTCAAAGGACATCTGACCTTGCTGGAAATGAGGAGCTTGTGGATGTATCTGATACTGGGGTGAAGCTCCATATCCTCGTTGCGGTGGCTGTTGCAGAGGATTTGTTTGCTGCCAAGGCTGATGCACTGACGAGTAGATGCCATGGTTTGGGTCCGGTCGTGGGGCTAGCTCTCTCTGTTGCTGCTGAAAAACAGGATGGTCCCATCCTATACCAAGAGGTGTTTGTTGCGATGCAGAATCGTGCTGCTGTTGAGGTTGGTGTTGGGGTTGAGATGGCTGCTGAAGCTGCTGCTCGGGATCAGGGTAGGCGGGATCAAGCGTGCTCCAGTAATCTGCGGGTAGTGAGGAATTGCCATGAGGTAACCCCTGCATAGGGTTTTGAGCTGATTGCTCCATGGTGAGCCTCAGTCGAAGCTTCTCTAAGCTACTATGAAACCTCACGTAATCACGTGCACGCACCTGCCTGGATAGGCGTAGAGTTTATTTTGGTTCTCACCGCCTTTTGTTTTGGGAAGAAGGAAGTGGGTCAGATATTCGGCAGGATAAATATTTTTTCCGGCGAGAACGTGAGATGATTGGCTGGTTGTCTCACGACGCGGCAGAACAGGGGGCTGTAGAGCTGCTGGTCTGAAGAATTGATAAGGATTAGACAATTCACGTGTTTGATACGCCTAGAGTGGACTGCAAGAGTTGCAGTATGAGTACTGTCGTACCTTATGAGAGAAAACAGAGATTGCTTTTGGCTTTGAGCTCAGGATTAAAGTGGTGTATGCCTCAGGCATGAACCCTGTTCAGTACTCCGAGTGACGGCGTTACCTTTGGCCTTGCAGCTTAATGACGAAGGCTCCGCAGTTGCAAATACAACGTAGAAGTATTAAGATGGCCCAGCTTTTCACTCCAGTGCCTCTGTCCTTGTGTCCTTGACTTTTGTATATCCTTCTTTCTCTCTTCTTGAGCCGTTCCTGTTGTCCCTGTAGGGCTTTTCGCTCTCCTTTCTCGTTCTTAAGTTTTTGTCCCAAAAGAAAGTCCTTGCAGAATCAGAGAAGGAAGAAGCTCTCATACGAAGGACCACTCTAGCGTCACAGCCATTCGCTTTACGGAAAAAAAATGAAGGGATTGGGGAAAGGTGTTGAGGGATGGTTAGAGTAGATGACTTGGGTTGAAGAGGAGAGTAAAAGGGACAAAAGCTGCTGGCAAGGCGGTTAACCGATGATACGATGGCATACCATAATTGACCGTAATTGAGGTATTGAAGGTCCTCCATTGGCCCACCGCCATGTAAATTACAGCCCCTGTGTTACATGGCAGAATTAAGCCCATGTGATCTTATGTTTACAGTGTTTGCAACATTTATGTCAGCGCAGCTCAGCGGGATCCATGCCAGGTGGAGCGATAGCAAGAACCCCGGTGTCAACAGTGCAAGGTACAATCTCATCATTCTAAGAGTTGCGCGCATATTTCAGCTATCTTTCTGTGCAGCTCTGTACGTTTCCAAGCTTTGGTTGAAACCGAGCATCTCTCCCAATCTCACACCGCGCCGCCAGCTATCGCCATGGCGCAATCCATGTCCCTCCGTGACCGACAGGTCGGTAAGTGACGCAAGCTGGATTCTTGTGATAAATTGAAGTTTACTGATCCTTGGCTTTTAGCATCAATTCAAAAGCTATTGAACTTGAATCATGATCCACAACCTGTTGAAGACAACATCGATCAGTCCGGGTCCGGCGGTCTTATCTCGCACTCCACTCCGATCTTGAATGAAGATGGTGACCCGATCTGGAAGGTCTTGGTGTTCGATAAAATGGGCCGGGATGTCATCAGCAGTGTCCTGAGGGTAAATGACCTCCGGGCATGGGGCATAACTATTCATCTGTATGGTCGCCGCTTTCTCCCCCTAAATTGGCCCCATCGCTAACCAAGACTCACTCCTAGAAACCTTCATTCACAAAGATACCCTATCCCAGATGTCCCGGTTGTATATTTCGTGGAACCCACCCCCGATAATATCCAAGCGATCACTCGCGACCTTTCCCATGGGCTCTACTCCCCAGCCTACGTGAACTTCCTATCCTCCGTCCCGCGGCCACTTCTCGAGGATTTCGCTTCTCAAATAGTTACTTCTGGCGCATCTGAGCATATTGCGCAGGTTTTCGATCAATATCTCAACTTTGTTGTGGCAGAGCCGGACCTCTTCAGTCTAGGGCTTGGGAATGATGCATACTACAAGATCAACAGCCCAAAAACGAGTGATGAGGATTTGGATGGGATTGTTGACAACGTGGTTAGCGGCTTGTTTAGTGTGAGCGTGACAATGGGTAAGTAATCCTACCTTGGATCATTGAGCGAAAATTTGACTGGCTGGGCAGGTACTATTCCAATCATACGGTGCCCCAAGGGTGGTGCGGCAGAATTGATAGCAACAAAACTGGATCGGAAACTACGAGACCACATCCTCAATTCCAAAGACAACCTCTTCTCAGGAAATCAGAACGCTTTGCCGGGAGTGCCGTCCGCACGGCCGGTCCTAATCATCATGGACCGAAACGTTGATCTAGTCCCAATGCTCTCCCACTCGTGGACATATCAATCGCTGGTCCAGGATGTTCTTGAAATGCGTTTGAATCGAATCACTGTGGATGCAGGTGCAGGCGATGCGGACTCGGCTAAGGGCTCCAAAAAGTCGTATGACTTGAACAGTACCGACTTCTTCTGGCAACGCAACGCCGGAGCCCCATTCCCCCAAGTGGCTGAGGATATCGATGCTGAGCTTACACGGTACAAGGATGATGCGAATGAGATTACAAAGAAAACCGGAGCCTCTTCAATTGAAGATCTCCAGAATGATACTAGTGCATCCGCGCAACATCTCAAGGCCGCCATCACACTTCTCCCTGAGTTGCGGGAACGCAAGGCAGTTCTTGATATGCACATGAACATTGCCACCGCACTGCTCAAGGGTATCAAGGATCGGCAGTTGGATAACTTCTTTGAGCTAGAAGAGACCATCACCAAACAATCAAAGTCACAGATCCTGGAGCTAATCAGTGATCCTTCTAAAGGAAGTGAACCATTGGACAAGCTGCGCTTGTTCGTAATCTGGTTCCTAAGCACTGAAACTGAGCTCAGCCGCTCGGAAATGACTCAGTTCGAAGAGGCCCTGACGCAAGCCGGTGTGCCCGATATTTCCTCTCTTGCCTATGTCCGCCAAGTGCGCGAGATTACCCGTATGACCATGATGACAACAGCCGCTCCAGAACAACAATCCTCCGATCTATTCCGTGGATTCTCGTCACTTTCAAATCGTCTGACGGATCGCATTACCTCGGGCGCTTTAGGTGCCAACTTCGACTCGCTCATTTCAGGGGTAAAGAATTTCTTACCAGCAAACAAGGATCTTACTGTGACCAAGATCACCGAGTCGATCATGGACCCGGCTGCAGCTTCAAGCTCTGCTATTGCAAAGACCGAAAACTACCTCTACTTCGACCCGAGGAGCGCCAACGCACGTGGCGCCATGCCTCCGGCATCCGCATCGCGGAACCCGCAAATGCCTGGTGGAATTGGTAGCGCAGGCCCTGGCACCGGTGCCAGTTTCGGCCAGCGTCGTCAAGCTTTCAGCGAGGCTATTGTCTTTACAGTTGGCGGTGGAAGCATGGATGAGTACGGCAACTTGCAGGAATGGGTTCGCCGAACAAATGGCCAAGCGGGCGCCGAGAGCGCGCCAGCTCAACGTGCGACACCTGGACACCGCCGAAGAGTTGTCTATGGAAGCACAGACCTGATGAACGCCACTGAATTCCTGTCAGATTCATTGGTGCCTCTCGGTCGGGATAGCTGAATGTAATTGTGGCTCAGTGAGGGTCGACATCAACATAGAGCCAACCTGAGGGTTGTAAAACATAGTATAATTGAAGCGCTCTGATATGTCTATGGTGTCTGACGGCTATTCTTTCTTAGTAGTGACTACCCAGGTAGTGTTTTGCTCTTTGCTCTTCCATTAAACATCCAAATTCCGCCAATAATTATGTCTATTTGAGGCACAGCCTCGGGGATATATCGAACTCCACCTAATGTTTTGAGCTAATCCCAAGGTCTGCTTGCGGTCTCGATCAAACCCTACAACTGTTCTGGTAAGACGAAATAAACAGAACTCTCTCGAGTCGAGTTAATTTCATGGCATCATTCTGGAAATCTACAGAAACTCCTGAATACCTGGCACTTGTGGGGTTCAATGTAATCATCTGTCGATTCTATGGAGTATAGAAGTATACACCATCATCCCGCCTTCAGGGGCAACAGTCTGGAACCGAATGCTCCAGAAAATTTGATCAATCATGTCTATTTCCAAAGATGTGCGACTTGGAGTTTATCTTCTTTTCCCATTCAGCCGCATCGCCTCACTTGGCGAATTCACCATCGTCGCCTGAGTGATGTCAGGGCAATATCATCGTCCTGAGATCTTAACGCCACGACAAAGGTATAAGAATGAGACTGACCTGGTGCTTTTTACTCTCCAAGAAAACAAACGAAAAATACAAACAATAATAATTGCTCTCACACTTTCTTGAACATATCATCAAGATGACCAACTACGGAGACACCTGGTCTACGGCCTACGACACCTACAACACCGCAGGATCAACCTACAGCCCTACGGGCTACAACACCTACGGTACAAGGGACTATGGCGCAGGCGGAGTGGGCTACGGTTCAAACACAACTGCTACGACTTACGACACCGACACCGGCCGCGGTACCACAACATACGACCCCGCGACCGGTGCCTACGACCAGCATCTTGATTACAGCACCCCTACCGGTCACCGACACCACCGCGAGCGAGTGAACAGCAGTGGTACCTATCGACACCGCGATGTTGACCGATTTGATGATGGATCTACTCGCGTCCACAAGGAATATGACAACCCAAACACTGGTACCAGCTACCACCGTGACTATGAGCGGTAAGGGTGCTTAGGATTTGGTGAATTCGCGTTGGGTTTAGACCCAGGCTTGTATATAAATTGGCATGAGACCACGAACCTGTTATGAAGCACCGAACAAACGCGAAAACAGATGAAAAAGGCGAAAAAAATATGAAAAATGTTCAGAAAAAACCAAAAAAAAAATGCCTAATTTGTTTGTTGTCTGTTTTAGCGACTATATAGCTATCGTTTCTGTGCGTCTGTTTCTGAGCGCATGTTTCTGTCAGTCTGTTTCTGTCAGTCTGTTTCTGTCAGTCTGTTTCTGTCAGTCTGTTTCTGTCATTCACTGTCGTTTCAAGTCTCTTTTCAGTCTATATCGTTTCAGTCTGTCGTTTCTGCTTGGTTTAACTAGTCTGGTTTCATTGTCGGCGAAGGTATGGCTTCAATTCAAATCAGACAATCAGAATGAAACAAATTGGGCAAATCTCAAACACTTTTCTTTGTTCGTATGTATGTTGTATGATGTGTTACCATGGCATATACTAACTGGGCAACGATACTATATAAGCTTAGCTTTGGCATGGGTGCAAAGGCAGTGTAAAAAGTAATATATGATAGGCTGATTCCATATAATACGTGTAAAATAAATCGAATCAATGAAAATGTAAACATTTCCTCCAAATCTATGAACATAATGAATATAATGAATAACTAGTTATAACTAACTAGTTAGTTGTTGAATATCCTCCGTACATTGAGGAACTCTTGGCAAAGATGCCTCAGGAGCCACATGCAAGGCAGACTCCACATCATACCTGGCACTTCCCTCTGGTCAACTCCAAGCTTTATCCTGTACAGCCAACGGATGTTGTGCTGAAACAGCTTCTACTCCAGCTTCTCATGCCCCCGTGATCATGTCGCGGAGGACGCTGGGTGGAGGTCGTGTTCTGGGCAACCCAAGCGCTCTCGCATCAGCTCCGTCCCCGCAGCCGAAGCGGGTGCTCTCGCCGACCGCCAGCAGCGTTTCCCTTAATTCACAGACCGCATCACAGCTCTCGACAGAAACTCAGGATCTCACTTCACGCATTTCAATAGATAATGGCGACACTTCGATATCCGCCGCCCCGGCGGCTCCGGGGGCTCAGCTCTCCTGTCCGATCTGCAGCGAACAGATGGTATGCTTGTTCCCCTGTTTGTTTCTTAAAGGACAAGTAAGACGATACTGACTTGTGTCTAGATGACTTTGCTGCAACTAAATAGGTACCGATCTATCGTTCCACCTCTCGGCCACCTTAACGTATGATTAACGATTTGACGCAGACATCTCGACGACATCCATCAGAACCTGGAAGATAGCCACCAAGATGAAGTCAAAGATTGGTTCAAGGTCCAAATGGAAAAGGCAAGGAAGTTCCAGCCTTTAGCGGTCCTAAACCAGAAGTTGAAAGGCTTGGATGTGTTCGAATCAAACGAGAACCAGGGCGCTCCTCTCCCCAGCCGCCCACTAGCCCCCCATCCGGGCATCCCCGAACCTCCGAAAATACTAGACCCCGAGGATCTTATAACAAAAGACCATTGGCAAACAAGTTCCATGTACGACGAGTGTCTAGAACCATCATGTGGGAAACGGTTGAATGCCACCAACGGCTGCGTGAACTGTCGAAGTTGCGGGAAACTGTTTTGCGAAGAACACACGATGTACCAAATGAAGCTCTCGCGGGCGGCACATCATGAACCGGTGCGAGGAATATGGGCTCGAGTATGCGAAACCTGCTACAAGTCAAGGGAAGGGTACAATGATCATAATGGTGAGAACATCGGATTTCCAGTTCTGAACCAAGCTAAACAAGCAACAGGAGCCGCGAGAAACCAAATGGATGCATTCAAGTCAATAAGAAAACAGACTGTCGATAAGGAATTTTTGGAGATTTCCCGACTCGAGAAACGATTGACCCGTCTCACCCAGCTGTTGGCTAGTCTACCACCAGATCAAATACACCCGAGTGCAACCAAGCTTTGGTCTCTTGCGTGGCAGAATGATCAACGGAAGGAAATAGAGCAAACGATTGTCAGCTGGCAAGATGATGCCAGTGTTTCACGATGTCCATTTTGCCAACAGGACTTTTCGGGCTATACATTTCGCAGGCACCACTGCAGAACTTGTGGACGAGTCGTCTGCGGTGATCCTAGTACCGAGTGCTCTAGTGAGGTTGGGCTGAGCATTTCGCCTGGTGAGTTCCGAAATGACCTTCCCTCGTGACTTTGGTCTAATTTTTCTAACAGGCTCGACAGCGACCTCTGAGAAGACCAATGGCGATAACCTTGTCAACATTGATGTGAGGCTGTGCAAAGAATGTAAAGCGACGCTGTTTGATCGGCGCGACTTCAAAGCAGACACGACGCGAAAGCCACCAGAGATCAGGGCCTATGAAAACTTGACCCAGTTTGAGAGGGGCATCCGCCTTCATCTACCTAGATTCCAAAAGCTGTTGACAGCTTTACAGTATGTTTTCGTTTCCGGTGTTCCAGTCAGTCACTAACAGCATTGTACCAGGGATCCGAGGCGACCTCCATCATCGGCCCAAATTGCAGATGCATCCAAGGTGCGCAAGCGACTGATTGATTCTTTTGCGCAGTATGATGTTGCGGCTCGACGTATCCGTGACATGCCGACCCAGTCCCCCACACAACAAAAGCTGCAGAAGGCTATATATCAACAAGCTAGTAACTTCCTTCACCTCCATATGTTGCCTTTGAAATCCCTCCCCAAAATCCTCAAGCATACAACCCCCGCGTCAGAGAGAATACCAAGCCGGACAAGCTCCCCGAGTACTCTGGTCAATGGCTCCACGACAGGTCTCCGGCCACCAGAGTCAGCTCTTGCATCCATTAAGTATAACAGCGTTGCCGCTAGCGGTAGCAATACTAGCTTATCTAGCGATACCAGCAGTGCTGTCTCAGCTCTGGAAGCAGAAGAAAAGTCTCTTCGAGACCGGCTGATCGTGCTAGAAGAGCAGAAGTTCTTTGTGTCCGAGATGATCGCCGATGCCAACAGACGGCGCAAATTCGATGAAGTGAGCAGCCTAGCGATGAACGTCGAGGACCTGAGCCGTGAGATCGATCGCGTTAGTGGCATGCTTGCAAATCTCGATTTTGAAGGTGTTTATACAGGGAATATGCAGCCAGGTACTTGACTTGAGTTTTAATTGGTATTTGTTTTCGTTCACACACGCTCCCTGCACATCTTCTTTACGTCTTTTGGTTACCCACCCTTTACTCTCGCTTGCACCTTTTGTTTTAATCTTAATGTTCTGGCGTTCGAGCACTTTTCTTTACGATGATATGTGCATAGCATCGGGCGTTGGTTCTTTCCAGGATATATACAATCAATGGCTTTACTATTTATATATTTCGACTATTCTTTCGTATTTTAGATGGTTTTGAACTTGTTTATATATCCACTATAGAGATCATCTATCCACTCCACAAACAAGCCTATACGCAGGAGCCGTGGATCTTTCTCGTACTTTCAACAAACACACAAAAAGACAATGTAGCAAACATTTCCTACAAAGTATAACACATACCCATACGCCACCAAAGACGCCACCACAGCCGTACACACAGGCACACGCACAACAAAAAGTGCCGTTCTTCCTGCAGCTTTGGCTGCAGCTTTGGCAAAGCGTCAAAAACCTGCCATGGTGAAGATTGAAGGGTAATCAAGGAGGGATCCCGAGCCGTGTAGTTCAATTGATATGGTCAATTGATATGTGGATGGAAGAGATAACTGCCTGTGTAGTACCACTGCCATGAAGCCATTTATATTTACATAGTACCTTCATGGGGACAAGGAACTAAAGATCATTGTTCCATCCTCTCATTGGAAATTGAGGTTATTCCTACCCACTCTCTACCATTAAATTTCTACAAAATTGTGATGTTAAGCTCCTATTCAAACTTCGATCATATTTCCATACTTGCATAATATATACAACCTGGCCCTCAACCTATCATTAAACTCGCTCACTAGCCCTGGAGGTAAGCACCTGCGTGCTGACGGGTCGGGGGCCGCGGGACCCGAGTAGTGGATGAGATGACATCCCTGTTGTCTTAACTCCGGTATGCAAGCAATTGTCAATTGGCTCAGAGGTTCCTCCTGAAATAATCCACCAGCTTAGGACCCGACTCAGTCGCGTTGTCGTACAAAGCAGTATGGTCCCGTCCTTCGATGATGAAAAGCTCCTTTGGCTCCTTGGCCGCTTTGATGGCATCCTCGCTGTAGAACTTCGTAGCAGCTTTGGTCCCAGCAATCATCAAAAGAGGACGAGGTGAAATCAAGTGGTTGAAAGCGTAGGCGTCAAAGTTCGCCAAAAGATCCGCACTTCTGGTTGCAAACAGACCAGGTGCATGTTCGTGCTGACCTCGTGGCGTTTTGTAGTATTCTGTCAATTCTTTGACGATGGGCGGGTATTCTGCGGGTACATCTTGAACGGTGGGAGGCAGGGAGGGGTTAACTGGAACCTGCCGTCCGTTTGCCTCGGCAATTCGTGCCTCGTTTGCAGCCTTGATCGACCCCTGCAGCATCTCTGGACTTCCCATTCCTGCCACAAGGCCTTCTCTTGTCATTCGGCCAGTACAAACGCCACTGACGGTTGCAACGGCCTTGATTCGTTGATCGGTTTGCGCAGCGAATGGCACATAGCCACCCGAGGCACAGACACCGAGAGCTCCAATTCGTTCTGGGTCGACATCTTTGCGCAGAGAAAGATAGGTAACACCAGCCCTGACATCCTCGGCTCGTTGGGCTGGGTCCTCGAGATACCTTGGCTGGCCCTCGCTTTCGCCTTGGTATGCGGCATCAAAGGCAAGGCAGATGAACCCAGCAGCGCTCAAGACTTTAGAATAAACATGCGGAGCTTGCTCTTTCACTCCAGTCATAGGATGGGCGATGATGACTGCCGGGTACTTGGTATTAGGTGAATACCCAGTAGGGAGGAATAAGTCACCAACGATCTTGATTCCCTTGCTGAGGAAATCGACTTTCTGAACGGAGCTCATGGTGGAAATAGTAAGAACGATTCAAAGAGAGATTAGTCTTTGGGTGAGTATAGAAAGAAAAAGGAGGTATAGGAGTGCAATATACAATGCAATATATATATGTCTCTTGCCCAGTATCACTATTCGGTCTTTGAGAAGGCTTTCGGGGTTAATGCTTGCTGTGAAGGTCATCCATTTACATTGATGACACGGAAGTTAGATACTAGCCCTAACTCCGTGATGATTTACGTTATAAGGTGGTGTCGAAGTAACCTCGGGAGAGAGCATTGTGTACACAAAAATATGTCCCTCGGGACAATGAATATATTCAATCATTAAACAAATCCAAAAAATAAAAATATCAAAGAAGTAAAAAAGAAATCTCAGGTTTGGTTTTTAGGAATAGCCGAACGCGGGGGTCGAACCCGCAGCCTTAAGATTAAGAGTCTTACGCTCTACCGATTGAGCTAGCCCGGCTGGGCTGTTGTAAAGAGGAGCCATAAAGTGTCTGATGAACGGAAACAAGGGATCCCGTGGTTTAGTGCAATATAGACGTGTATGGTCGCGGTCTTAGCGTCCTGCAGGCCCGTTGAAAAGTATGTATGTCTGCATATCATGTGGGTTTGTATAGTTACTACATACATACATTATATAGGTAGTTCTGATACTATTTAACGTGTAGCGGAAAGTCTTGATTCCTTCAATTTCTCGCAAGGAAAGTACCTGGCATCAATATATTCTTCCAGCCTACCCGCACTTTCCTGGACTAATATATCACCCTGTGTTTTCTTCCCCTCTCGTCATCCTTTCCTCTCATCAACTCCCCTCTCCACCGATAAGAAGGTGGACAACTTTTGTGAACTGCCTTCATGGCACGGTGGTTGGCAACCTGGTCTCACCGAGGAAGCTCAGTTATGATGATACCACTAAGGTCACACGGTCATCCATGCATACCGATCATAATGAGCTAATTATTCCTAGGCATATGCCCAAGCCACCAAGATCAATGACCCTAAACGATTCGGAGGGACTTTATGTCCTCAAGTAACCCTTTACGACAAAGCCCCAGATGAGTGGGCTTGCAAAATGCTGGAAATAACACGAGTATCAAACCTGCGGGCGAACTAAAAGACCCTTGGGGTACCTGGTCATCACCTAATAAAGGCCGGATGGGACCTAAAGGACCAGAGGCGCAAGGTAGCGCAGCCGCTTCGTGACATGCAAAGTCTGGGCTGCGAGTATGGGTTCATGAGTACGCACAAGGATACAATCTTTTTGAGGCAGTTCCAGACCCCTAGGGGGTCATGCGAAGTATGGCATTCACCGGCCAGCTCCTAGGCAACTTTCTACTCGCCGACAGGACTCTGGTACCCAGGGAGCGAACCCAGCCACTTCCCAGGTATCTATGAAACAGTGTCTGTTATGTATGTACCCCGGCGAGCCAGGCAGGTTCTATGACCAACAAGACTACGCCATGGATTATAGATCGATAAGACTATATGCTGAAAGCTAATGGTATCCCTGTTTACATTATCCACGAAGAATTTCAAAGCGAAGGGCAAGACAGGAGAATCAGACGCTCTGCTTTCAAAATTTAGCACAATGGAGCTGTCATGGTCAACCACCTACGAGAGCTTAGGAACAGGTGGCTCAAACAAGGTTCAATGCACCTGTCCCTCTCACCGAAGAGGTGAATAATCTTTAAGCAATTGCGCAAAATGCCATTGACCACTACGACATAATCAAATACGACGAACACCACCATCTAACGTCCACCTATCTAACCCGCTCGTTCTCTTGGTCATCGTGCACAACATGACGCTTAGCCGCCAAATATACGCTAGATGACCACACGACTTCGGCTCCAACGGCGATATTTACCCAGGTCATTGCCCCATGGGCGACTCGGTTATCCTATGGGCATTTGGCTTGCCATTCATTGCGGTGTTGACAGATTACTATATCATGGCGGGCGCTAACCTGAGGCCCTATTTACCTACGGCTGATCGATAAAAAGTCTAGGCATAATCAGCTCACCTACAACGGCGTTCAGTTTTTTTCAAGAAATTTCCTACCGTCGACTAATACTGTAAACTGCGAGGTATTGCGATGCACCTGGGGATAGATCCGAGCTCTCCAAAATCCATACGCCGCAAACTGAGAGCTTTCGAGATGATCTTGGATAAATTCTTAACACCTCAATCCTGAAGGACCACGTCTCTATTAGCCACCTTGCAACCTCAGCCTATCTCTTAGACCGTATTTCCACACAGACATATATATGTTTATTATACTATTATACTATATGAATCGGATTGGGAGACTATAATGGCAATTCCATTATAATCTCAGCGAATCTTAGCATGATCCCCGTAGAGTGCTCTTATTGTAGCCCAAAGCTCTTCGGTAAACTAATCGCACAGCTCTATCGCAACGAGCGAGCCTACTCCGAACTAATGCAAGCGCGTATTCGCATCGAAATCACCCATCGTAATGCTTACGGTATTAGGGATTCTTTTAATGAACAATTCCAAGACAGCCGCATTGGCGTTCAGTAACGTCGTAGACACGTTGATTACCAGATCCAATCGGTGCTATCGAGATACCAGTTAAACCTGCTAGGTACCTTGGATAACCCCTCGCAGGCGTATGTCTCGTCTCCGAATGCGTCGAGGGTTGATGACATTGGTACAGGGAGGTAGTCAAAGCCACAAGGGCGGAACATCGCGACGAGAAAAGTGAGTGGATTTGAAAGGTGTCGAGTTGTAGCGGAGTTGATGGAAAGCTAATTTGTCGAAGCCAAGCGCAATTCAGAGGAGAAGAGAGAGAGAAGGACGTGGACTTGACGAGGCGAAATCCAATCTAACCTTCAAATGTCCACGGGTTGGAATGCGCATACACAATCGGGCCGTTTATGCGGCCTTGTAGTCTTTTTAGATGTCTCTGTTTTTAGATATTTTCTCCCTCATTTGGGTTGTAGCTAGAATATACTAACTTTTGATATAGTTGTTGAGGTTGACCGATGTGTTAGATGTTAACAACCCTAATTATGTCCGACTTAGGGCACGGGTCTATGGGTGAATCAGCTCACTGTCTGAAAGACTTAGTAGCTCCTTAAAGCGACTGCCTACCACTCTTATCGGCCCTCGAAGAATCGATTTCAATAACATAACTCGTGGGAGTTCATCGATGCTGTACAATATTGGTCTAAGGCCTTGGACAACATATGATAGCCAAGGTGATTCTCAAATTAGAGACCGTGCTGCACCTCGCCAGATACATCTAAATGGAGAACAACGGGAGATATGCCAAGAAGGACGTAATTATTGCCATTCCCAATGACGACTTCTACGTGATAAGGGAAATGCTGGGCAAAGAGGACAGAACAATAAGCTAGACCGTCACTGGGCCTGGCTAGCTTGTTTCAACTGCCATCGTAGGATGAAACACCACTAACAAGACAGGGGGTGGGATTGTTACTACAAGCAATATAGCGCATTCCGGCTTTTAGCCGGCTTTTATCCATGCTACTTAACGCGTAGCGTAATGACGAGCCGCGTGGATCCTGGTGTGCTAATGAGAGAGAAATCCGGGGTCCGGTCGGAGCGGGGCACTGTACTAAACACATTGTGGTATTGTTCTAAACAAAGAGCAAGAAGAAAATATTAAAGTTTAGATATATTACAGTCTATCTAATTACCCGGCCAGCCACTTAGGATGAGTGATCTTCCGAAACGTAGAACGATTTTTGGACATTCACCCCCTGAAAGAATGTGCCGCCGTTTGTCGGATTCAGATCTTCTTGGCTACTCGTCCGGCTAGTCGCGGACTCATTCGAGGTTTGAATCGTCGTAATCACCGTATGTTGGTCTTCCCGGTCTAGGTCTGGCCGCCAGTATTGTGGATTGGACGTAGTGGAGCGTACTCCATTGACGCTTGAGAGGGGGATGCTGCCGCCGGTGCGCTTCGTTTTGCTCTTGCTTCCTCCTCCCGAGCTGGGGTCGCGGAACCAGCGGAATAAGGGTCGAAGGGTTACCAGACTGCCTGCGGCAATTCCGAGGCTGGCTTCGACATTGGACCAGATTGAGATGTTGGCGGTTGCGTCTGTTGGGGTTGAGTGGTGTTAGTTGTTGCTGCTTTTAACTCTCGGTTGATTTTATCGAGTGTATCTAAATCAGACGAAGAGAAACTCACATAGGAAGTCAACATCCTTGTAGTCGTGCAAGAAGGGAATGCGAATGATGACTGCTGCGCTCGCACTAAATCCGAATAGGTCAGTACTAAATCTTATTCCAGGGTATCAAAGGGCAGACATACATGCATCCCATTCCCAGAATGCCCGCCAATGCAACCTTGGTCCTTAGCCTCATCTGCAAGTTCCACACTAGGGCAATAGGCAAAAGACCCAGGGTAAGATCACAGATTGTAGCAGTGACACTGTAGACATAGGCCATGTTAATGATATGGTCAAGGTTCATGCAGGTGCCAGAAACATTGGCATGAGGGTCCGTCAAAAGGCGAACTCGTTGCCAAAAGAACGCAACCGGTTGACATTGCAGTGTCAACATGAACCAGAAGACGATACCAATAGTACAAGTAACTCCAATGACAGTACATAACACGAGTTTATGTGGCTTGGAAACCGTCAAGCGGAGGAGGGCGAGTGCAATGGAGATCTTGGCCAGGGCACAGGTCCAGACATAGCTGGTTTGACCGAGCCACCACCACTTTGGGAATTTTTTAGCATGTGATTCTCATCTCGTAAGTCAAGGTTGGAATCGAAGGTCAACATACAAACATTGCGGTTTCCAACGTACCCCTCTCCACCAGATCATCGGATTTTTGTCCGAGTCCATAGAATGCGCCAGTGATACCGCATAGAGCGAACAATATATTCAACAACTGCAAATCAATTAGCCTAGACCTCCATTGCGCATAAAACCTATCGTTCATACCATTGCGCATACCATAAAGGCATCATCCCAGCCAAAGGCCTTGACAAGTCGTATCCGTACGAAGCATCGTAGACATACGGCAATAAATGAGATGCCGAGGAAGACAGTAGTAACGATGAAAATCGACTGGCTGCGGCCTTCAAGGGGCAACATATTGACCCAGATAATGAATATATGGTCACCAATTCATGACCCGTGTAATTTCCCCTATAAAGTATGCAAGGATGTCCAAAGGAGCAACAAGAATAAGATATATCAGAGAGAGAAAAAAGTTGCAATAAGAGAAAACCCACTGCCGCGTAGATCAAGCTTTACAATCACGGGCATCTGTGGCGAGAACGGGCCAGGAGGGAGGGGGCCAATGCGGTGGTGGTCTCGTGTTTGCTGTTTTCCATAGAAAAAAAAGGCGGAAAAGGCAAAATAGACAAAAATAAAATAACCAGAACCAGAGATCAAAATTCTCTAATGATCCCGAACTCACGGGAAATATCCACGCTTGTTAAGATGAGGTTAGACAGCTGCTTGAAACCTTGGAACAATGGGCCCTTTCGGCACATGGGTAGGGTTCCAAGGGTTAGGGTGAGTTTCTAACCTTCCAAGGTTGGAACATTGAAGGTTTCACGTGTGGGGGGCGGGGGATGAGAACTCAAAATGGAAAAAAAAAGGGAAAAGAAAAAAGCAAAGAAATCTATTTTCAATAGCTTCCAATGTTCCAAGGTTCTCCCATGCAGAGGCGGAATCAAACCTTTGAAGAGACATCCCACCGAACCATGTGGAAGCCACCTGCAGGGGCAATTGTTCTGAATACAGTACGACCGCGGGATGGGTTTCAGATGCCACCGCTCAAGCCTCCCGTTACTGCAAAGTACAATGTACCGAACATATTTGAAAAGCGCACAGGCCTCTGGTCTCCATGACTTCGGTCCAGCCAAACCAGCCGAACAATGTACTCCACTTATTACCGCGAATCAAGTCTAACCAGTGGAGTCGATGGCTTGAATAGATCCAAGTCCGTGATACAACCACGATGCTACCGTGATGCTAGTGCCGGGACTATTCTATAACGGGAAGCCGTTGCTGATAATCCGCTTCGAAGTTTCCAACCTTGGAAGGTTTCAACCAATGTCTTCGTCTTCAGGGGAAACTCCCGTCTATCCCAAACCCAGTTACGGAGTACGCTCGCCTAAATTCTCGGTTGCGGCTATTGCAGGCGATCCTTGTCTAGGGGTCTGAGGTGCGCATTGCCACGGAAAATATTGGCAATATTTGGTGATATGGGCGCACTTGACCTAGATCTCATCTGAGGAGTTGAACTGATCTGGGGTTTCGTTTCGATACTCCGCATCGAGATTCGAGATCTGATTATGCAAATCGTCTCTAGGCTCTTAAGGGGGAATCCCTATGTTGTAGATGTGAGGCGAAGCATTCGATCAGCGGAGACCTCGGCAGACGAGGTACGATCTGCGCTATATGTATTGTGGGTTGTCGGAAATTACCTAATACATATGTACAACGTAGGTACCTATTCCGCGGATCCACAAGCGACCCGGCAATCTTCTGTCCTTGTACTCCGTACCATTCTCTAACTATGTGTCAACAAAAACACTATTGGATGATAGGCTACAACAAGTACTTCACTCATTATATTGGTCTTACCGTGACAAGATAGGGAGCACCCCCGGAATAGCTTATACTCCCAGAGCCCCAACCGCCAATCTAACAATCTAATATGGGTCTCCAGCGAACCCGACTCTTAGGCGCGTGCCGAGACAAACTTTGGAAGCTATACTCCCTCCAACCATGTATCGCAGTAAGATGGGGCTCTTCTATTTTGGTGAAGAGTTTGGCAGATCCAAGTGAAACTAGTTCCGTACCGAGTTGTCTCCTACTGACCTCAGGATTTCGGGGGAGAACCTAGTGGGGTTGAGACGATGCTCTGCCAGTCTGCCCAAGTCAATGGGTGGTGAGACTGGCCTCGGGTGTACCTGCTTTCCAGACATAGGACAAAAGCGAATAAGCGAAGCGAATACGCTGTATAATTCGTCAGGACTTCACGCTCACTATGACGTACGTTGCGAGCTGTCTTGCCTATTCAAACTTATAGACCAACTGATCCGCTGGTCATTTCTCTACCTTCTTCCATGTGACAGCTACTTCTTATAAATCGATGGGCCCCATTTCCAAGTTTGCGACGCTCGGATCTCTACCCCAGATATGCCACGCTCTAGAATCCTTGACGACCAAAACAGTGAATTCGCTACATAATACAAACTCGCATGCTTGAATGAAGCCAAATCGAATATTTACATATCAAGTTGCACAGTGCACATGCTCAATCAAGTGGTAAGGCCTCCAGGGCAAACTTACTTCCACTGAGCAGGCTTGGTAGCCTGGAAAGTCTTCAGGATGGCGATCACCTTCTCCAAAGCAGCGACCTCCTTAGCCATTGCGGCAGCAACCTTAGCCTGATCCTGACCCAGCTTCGAATAGAAGTCCTTGCGGTATGGAGTGGCAGACATGGCAGCGCTGAAAATGGGCTTGATGAAGAAGGAGTGGTGAGGCTTGAGGGTGTTGCCGTAGGCACCGCGGAAGGAGTCGGAGAGTTCCGAGGACGAGTTGTCGATGTTGTGACGGAGGGCTTGGACGGTAAAGTCGAGGCCTCTGTTGAGAAGAACAATGATTAGTCAATGATTCATACAGATTTGCGCAAATGGAAGAGATGTCATTGCAATTGGTGGCCTCTTCCATCACAATTGAGACATGTAAACATACCGGACCAGCCAGACCAGACCTTCAGTGGCGACGTGCTTGCCGGTATTCAATTCGTTCAGGACAAGGGCCTGCAGGGTCTCAGACTCCGCAGGAGCTGCCTGTTGACGCTCACGGACTTTCTGAACGTGGGGTTAGAATTGTTGACACCGGCGATATAATGTATTGAACGAACCTTGATGTTGCCGAGCAGGTCATTCTTGACCGGGGTGAAAGCGGCAGAACCGAGGACGTCTAAGTGTTTCCTGCATTAGATTGAGGCAAGTCTATGCAGGGGAACAACACGCACCAAAGAGAGTCACCAGCGACTCAGCGGCCTCGAGGAACTCGGTGGTCGAGATGCCATCCTCCGCACCGATAGGGACATCGGCGAAGGACTTGTTCATGGTATCAAACCATGTTCCGTCAGCAGGGATAGCAGCCATTTTTGTAGAAGAGTTTAAGTAGAAAATAGATAGTGGGAGAAAGAGAAAAGAGCTTAATCAGGAGACCGTTGGATACTGTCAACTTCACCGCTGCTGCCACGCAAGCCAATGGCGGGGCACAAGGGGATGTGGAGATGATGCAAACAGTGTAAACAGTACCAACGCGGTGAAGTGTCAACAACTTTTTTGTATCGTTTGCAGCATTTGCATAAATAGCAACGACGTCATCGAATCGTATTACATCGAGATTGGCGATCGCGCTATGAACTTTACCTGAAGTTCGCGCGTAGGCAATTTGATTGCTCCTCTATGCATGCCCCTTTGGTCCACGAGGCTACTACATAGTATATTGTCATGAGCTCTCCACCGAACCAGGCCAATGGGCCGCAACCAGAAACCGGCCCACGCTCGTCGTACCATGAACATTATCATAGCTTGCAGACTGGCTCATACACAGACCAGCAGCTGGTATGTCTCTGTCTCTCGGGAGTTGAGTTATAGAACTGACCTAGTGTTCCTTGGCAGCGTCATGCTTCTGCCAACCATTTGCATATGACGAACCGGCGATTTTTCGTCGGTCCAATCCCGGAAGGCTGGCTCCAAGGTCATCGCAAGTCCTGGTATAAGTCTCGACTAAAAGTCAGAAACTATACCTCGCAGACCGTCTCGTTCTCTGCGGGCCCCGTTGCGACCCACTACGGCGAACATGGCGATCAGCCCGGCCCATCGTCACCGGATTTGGATGAGGAGGCCGCCCTGGCGCTCACCAACACAAGCACGGAGGCCGCCGAGGAGCAATATGATAGTATCGAGTCAGAGGCACAAGATCAAACTGCAGAAGAGCCCGTGGGGGAACTCAGGACCCTAACCCACCCTGAAGCTGTGGCCAGCGGTGACGATCCCTTACCTGAAGAGGACACAGAGACTATAGAACATAGCGGGGAAGATAACGGAGAAGATAACGGGCGGGATAGCGGAGGGGACAGCGGAGAGGATACAGACAGCACCCCAAAAGCCAGAATAAGGGGGGAATACGATATATACGGCAATGATGTTGCTTCGTCTTCGTTTGTCACCGCCAGAGAAGAGGTCTCCAGCTCTTCAAAGATGGGACAATCAATAGCCACTATACGAGCTAGCAGATTGGAATCGCCTGAGCTGCGACCAAAGTCCCAGGGCTCACATCACACAAATTTGACCGGTCATTCTTCTCCCAGCCCTCTAACCCACAATGCATCCACAAATCCAAGCGAGGCCGATTCAACAACACAGTTGCTTCGAAGCAACTACAAGGACAAAGGGAAGCAGAAAAGCAAGGCATCTGGCGTATCTCGAGCAACGCTTCAACACCACGACCCAGAAGATGAAGATGATACTGGCGAAGATGCCCAAGTCCAACGGAGACTCACTAGGAAGATGGCAAGATTCAACCTGGATGACAACATCAGACACAGGCAACAAAAGATGCGCTCTAAGATTGCAAAGACCCAAGGTACTATCTCTGCCAATCGACCGCGCCGACGAAAAGTGCAAGATGGAGAGATTGTTAAGGCAGAGAAAATGCTGGTCTGCGTGGAGGAGACTATGCAGGACACACTTCCCGCTGATTACACCGAGAACGACAGCCTGCGCATGGAAACACGGACCGTGGACAAATGGAGGGAGTTCCTCGTTGTATGCCGCAAAAGCTCTGTAGAGCATACGCCATTTGCCATTCAGATGTACCGCACTCGTGTAATTCCTGATGTGCAACGTCCGAACAGCAAAACGCCTCCTTATTACGAAGTACGGCTCAATCACAAAAATACCCATGTTAACTTCTATTCCCCCCTCGACAAGACCATAGTTATTTGGTATCCCCGCAAGCGTGGAACCAAAATATTTATCCTTCGTCCAAAGTCTGCGGCGCACTCCGCTGAATGGTTCACTTTCATTCGCCAGGTGCTTGGATGGCGGCGTCCCACCTCACTCCCTATTCACGTCCCTGATCTGGGGGTTTCCCTCATTTTCAAAAATCCCTTCAGCCAGCTCGAGGAAGTACTAAAAGCAGATAATTATGATAGCGAGCACGCTACAGCAGTTGCGGACCGGCAAGCAATCGATAAAAGATTTGCTGCCGCTACCATCATCCGAGGATGCATAGACATGCTCGAAGGCCGTGCCGAGTGGACCGAGGTCTTGAAAGCTTGGTCCAAGACCGAGAAGATGGGACTTGCTTGGAAGCGGTACGACCGACTTGAATGGGTATTTGGAGTCAACGAGGAAAAGATGTATGGGACCATCGCGATGCAATCATCTCACGAGCTTGAGTTACGACCAAGACATCATTACTCTACTACAATTAGGCATCAGAGCATACAGGAGGAGCCTGCTCCGATCGAAGGATTTCTAGTCCGTCTCACATCCCAGAAGGGTGTGCATCAGCGGATGAACAAGATGTTCTTCAAACGGCTGTACTTCTTTACCCAAGATCATTATCTATTTTTCTGTCGGCCAGCCAAGGCACTGCCCCCGCCACCGCCGAAATGTGCTCCCCCAGAAGACGGAAGTGTACCATCTGCCCGTGAAATATTGGATCGAATGCCGCTCTCCTGGGATATCGATCCTTATCCACTTGAAAGTGGCGAGATTCCATGGCTCTCCAGCGGCAATCAGGAATTCGTCAAACGGCACGATGAAGAGGCTTATGCGCACGTGCAGAGGAATGTACACAATATCAGCCAGGCCGATGGATATATCGATATGTGTCGGGTGAAAGAAGTCCGCAATGTCTATCGTGGCAGCTGCCCTGCCGACCCCAACATCCGGGAAGGTCCCTCTGTGGACTTCAACCGGGAACCCAGAGACTCACGACAGGATGATGGAGCAACGCGAGAGTTCGATGACGGTAGGACATTTGAAATGGTTCTCGATAATGGTCTTGTCATTCGGCTCCAGACATATGATGATGCCACACGGGATGAGTGGATCAAACGACTCGATGCGCTTGTGAAGTATTGGCGCATTCGCTGTACAGACGATGCCACGGAACTGCAGGCCGTACGGCAGCGCAATCTCAAGGTTTTGGATATCGACGAAGCTATGGAATCAGTTATCGGGCAGTTCGCGAAGAAGTGGGAAGTAAAGAAAGCTGAGGCATCTCCACACTTACACAACATGTGCTCGCTGTCTGGTTGTCGGACTATCAAGGTGGGTTATCGCAGCATGACATCAGACAAATAAACGCACAACCTACTAACCACATCAACAGATGTCCGGCCACCTCTATCGCAAGCCCCGTCGCCACACCACTTTCTACCAATGCCATGTCATCCTCACAGCAGGCAAGCTGTTAATTTTCCGAAGCACACTGCGAAGGCGAAACGGCACTGAGATTCCACACATTCATCAAGAACTTGAAGCCACTATCGAACTAGAAGATTGCTATATCTATTCTGGTTTGATTACCGAGAACGACTTGCTGTATGCCAATCAGACATTCGACAGCAATAACCCTGGTCTTCATGCTCTGCCACGGGTGTACCTCGATTCAAATGCCTTCACAAGTCGCGATGAGGACACCGCTATCACCTTCGTGGTCTGGCAGCCCTTGAGTAAGAGCTACTTCCGAGCCCAGGAAATAGGGGAGCAAGGCAAAGCCAAACGATCCTTGCGCCATGTGTCCACGCTGGGCAAGCATGGCCGCACTATCGTGTTTAAAGCACGTAGTCGTGTGGAAAAGGACCGTTGGGTGATGAGTATTTCCTCGGAAATCGACCGTCTCCAGGAAGAGAAACGTGAAGATATACGGCTTGTTTCTCTATAATTACTGATTACATTGCTTGCGTTGTCTACATTTCTCGGCCATTCATAATTCCTCTTCTATTGGTATATACCACTTTGCTTTTGACTTTTTTTCGTTCCCGGGAAAATACTCCTTCCACCCACATACGCATAGCACAGCATTTGTTACCCAAAATAGTAATACAATGGTATGCAGAATACATTCCTAATATATGTACAAGTCCCAGTCTAGAACATCATCAGACACGGGAAAATTCAGCTCTATCAACAAATACAAATGGCCAAGATATACTCCAAACCCCATCAATAATCAACTGATCAATTCATAATGGGCTGGTCGAGCTTAACAGCATTTTTCAAAACACGATCCCGTACGTTCTGTCGATACAAATCCACAGCCGCATCATCCGTCGACGCAGAATCCCCCTTATCAGATTCCCAGTCCGTCCACTTCAGCCATCGCATCCGTGGTCCCAGCACCGCAAATACCCGCCCAGTAATCAAACTGAGACTGACAGGCCCGTACGTATTGCTATCCATCGTCTTCCGCGGATCCTCCGCATCACCCTCCAACCAAACATGATTCCAAGGGACGATCTGCGTTTGCCGCAGACATGGCTCGCGAGTCGTGATCCGGTCACCGGGTAAACCGATGATGCGCTTAATAGCGATATGAGACGGGTTCGCAGGGGAGCTATATGTATCGAAGATATTTTGTTAGTATTGGTTGTTGCACTCGATTTCGTAAAAACAAGGTATGAAATATGATAAAATAAAATGCGCATAGAAAAAACCCACCGGAAAGTAACAATCATCCCTCGTTCCAGCTTCCGCTCCTTTTTGAACGGCAGTATAGATCCCCACGGCCACATGTTGACCATCACTATGTCACTTTTTGTTTGCGTTTGCGCATACTCCTCGTTCAGGTATGGTGTCATTGACGGCCCGCGAACCCACATCACTTGCATTACGTGTTCTGGGAAGAAGAGTGCGATCGGGAGCATAGGTGCTACCCAGCGGAGAGTGCGGCATGCTCGTCGGACTGGGTATGGGAGGGCGGAGATGCGTTGGCGGAGGGTTGTGAGGAAATGTGAGATGAAGGGTGTTCGTCTTTGTTTGGAGAGGGTTGGGCCCTGATATGTTATGGGTTCTACAGCTTGGGGCTTTGGCTCTTCGTAGACATGGACTCGGAACCGCGGATTGGGGGTTGGTATTCCTCTTGGCCGTTGTGGTTTCGACATTTTTTGGAGTTGGAGGCGGAGGTCGAGGGGTCGGGGAATTTGCGGGGGCGATTGATTGTGTTGGAGATGGGGTGTTCAGTTCAGTAGTCGAGTTTCATTATGTAGCTTTGATTATCGAGAGAGATTTGCCATTGGGATTGGAGTGAAGTGGTCTCATGCTGGAATAATGATCAAATGCGCGATCTGATAGGGTGTTTGCATTGTTTGCATGCTGCTTTCACCTATGGACGCCTCCCGAGGTCGGGAGTGGGCTGATCTTTGTAGAAGATAGTCCAAAGAAGAAAAGAAGCTGCTTACAGACCTATTTCAACGATAAAAATCGCCCTTGCTGATACAACAACTGTCAAATTATGGATACGAACTGGTCAATATCTCATCTTCGCCTTATGTGCTACTACCAGTATAGAGAAAGAAACACTAAGACTTATGAGGGTGATTTCAAGGTGGCACAAGATTCGCTTTTTAGCTAACGTGATATTACAGAGGGGGAAGATTATGTTTCGTTGAATTCATGTGATGGCGGTCGTGAGTCGTGTCGGGGGTATGTTGGTAGATGCCTCCACTGTGCATGCCAAGTGAGGCGCCCAACATCTTATTGGCATGGCGATTCAAGCGTCGCTGCTCTCGGCCAAGTCCTCCTGCGTGGGAGGGAAATACACTCTACAATCATTGTCAGTGTTTGATCAAGCCGTGTGAGAAATAGGGCAAGCGTACGGAATGAATTCACCATAGGCATTCACATCCTTTTGCTCAAAGTTGCAGAAGATGACACGCTCCAGCTTTCCGGTATTAGGTCCGACGAGGAATTCTCGCACTTCTTTGAGGGCATCTTCGGCGGCGTATCGACTGGGATAACCGTAGACTCCGGTGCTGATAGCGGAAAAGGCAATGCTCTTCATGTCGTTTTCGACTGCCACTTCCAGGCTGCGTCGGTAGCAGGATCGAAGGAGCGCGACGGGGTCCTCTTCCCGTTTGTAGATTGGGCCGACTGTGTGGATCACACGCTTGCAAGGCAGATCGTAGGCGGAAGTGATCTTTGCGTCGCCAGTCTCACATCCATCAAGATCGTAGCATTCTTCAACTAGCTTGGGGCCTGCAGCTCGGTGGATTGCACCGTCCACGCCACCACCTCCGAGGAGAGACTCATTAGCGGCGTTCACAATGCAGTCCACTTGGAGCTTGGTGATGTCATTGCGGATGATAGAGATAGTGTTGTTGAGAGGTTGGGATGGCGGAAATTTTGGGGACCCAGGAAGGAGCTGCTTCGCGCGGTACAGACGCGCTACAGTGGGGATATCAGCCAGGGCCAGAAGTGAAGACATGGTTTAGAAAAATCCAGGTGAGGCTGGGTCCGAGAGGAAATTGAAGAGGAATGGTGTTTACTATGGAAGTATTGGACTGGAAGCTCAAGTGGGGACAGGCCAAGCTCTGCGCACGGGCCACCCGAGGATATGTGGTCACATGACTATGTTTATACATTTCCAGTTTGGAGGATGAAGACTTTGCCAGGGGAGTTGGAAATAAATCGTAGAGAATCGATATTTTGATAGAGAAAATGGTAGGTTTATATATACATGTAGTCTGCTTCAAAACCCATCATCTTGGTGGTGCGAGAGAGAGATCAGCAATGCATAAAGTAATATATATTCACATATGTATGTAGACTCCCTAAATCTCACGTATAAGGCCAAGCACAAGCACAAGAGGGAATAATACCAAACCCAAATGCTTCCTTGTTTCCTTATGAATAATATTATTCTAAAAATTCCTCCATATTCATGCACCATAGGTCTGATAAATACTAAAGCCTTTGCCATAGAACATGACTCGGGTTATGGAGTATATGATATGATACTCATCATCTCTATGCTATGCACTCTATACTCCGCACTCCGCACACCGCACAAGACAGTCTTACCCTATGATTTAGTTTCGACTACAAGTCATCCCGCGGCAATGTACTCCATACGGCAAGCTGCATTGCATTACCGCCTGCACCTAGCCTAAAGAGACGGGCTCCTGTGCCGCTCAACCCTGGGGCCTAGGACTCCTATCATTGGCCCAATAAGACCCGAGGTAGAAAAGGTACGGAATACAACCTCGGGAACTTTATCTGTTATAAATTATAAACTAGTACGGAGTAGACCCGGGAGCCAAACCCGGGATTTGGCATCGACAGTAGTGGAGGGGCCAGTAGGAGACGAATTGATTGGTGCGAGACCTCGGTGGCACATGGTTGACATTTCCTTTGTGGATCATGAAGTTTATCCGGAAGTTTCTTCAAAACAAGAATGGGGGAAAGTGGAACTTAAGCACGGAGTACAAAGTATATATGTGCTATTAACTCCCACAAAACCGTATTGCAAATCCCGAGTCGCACCAACAAACCAGAACTGGAGTAAGCGCGTAAGCACATTGGCTAGACTGCCCAGAACCCCGGCGCCTTGACTACGTTGGGTTTAGGTACAAGCCCGGCTTAGAGTCAAAGACCTGAAGAGATGGTAGGGGATTCAAATTACGGTGTTCATAGGGAATTATTAAGGTGGATTCATGTTTTCTTTGGCCCACCTCTCTCCACCGTGAAGACCCTACCAGACCCTGTCAGAACCTGTCAGATCAGCCGTGGACCACCGTTTTCACGTCAGTGACCCTTTCAACTGGGTATAATATGGATCTGCGGGGACCCAGCCCATGTGTTTTGGTATATTTGACGATTGCCGATCCTTCGGTTATGCTTTTCGATGGCATTTGGTTCAGTTTGGGGGGTTTTCCACTGGTTCATCCAGTCACCTTCCTGTTGAAGCGCCAAAAATAGTATTCAGACAATCTATTGGTCGATTGGGAGGGAAATGAACGGGAAAAAAACCGAAAAACCTTGGAATCATGGCTCCGCTCCCAAAATTACCATGGTACTGGGACCACTCAGGGCGAACCAGTTCTTTCTTTTGGCTTCTATTCCGAAACTCCCATAAAATTACATGGGAACATGGAAACAGGGACCGGGTGGATACGATGGCGTAGGACATTTGAGATCAAAGCGGGAAGGTTTTCCGTACTTTTGTCTGTTTTTTGGGTTCTGGAAGAAACAGGAGGAAAAAAAATATAATAAAACTATGTGGAATTCCAATGTTCATCATGGAAAATGATAAATAACAAGTACGAAATGAAAGCCACAGCGTCCTCTTCAGACGGAACCTCGCAGCTGTCAGATTCAAAATCCTCCAATCATCGGAAAACCTCCTATTTGACGTGTGGTAGCTCAGATTCAAAAAAAACTTTATTAGATGTCACTGGAGTATTCCTATTCGTCCAGGTGGACAAATTAATATGTAAATGGGCTAGGCTTTGTTGCTAATGCATACGTCAAATGTCTTGGGTGCATAACCCACCTGTCAAAGACTCTAATGGGCCATACCTGCAGCTTAGCATGTACAGCCATATCTACTGGGCCCTTGATAGCTTTGAATTTGGACTGGGAAATGATTGGTGCGCTTATATAGAACCTGTTCTCCCCTATTCGGCTATATGTTACTATGGATTTGGAATAATCCCTGATGTTACAAGTCAGGGATTATTAAAAGTACATTCATTTAGCACAAAGCTCATTCTTAAAATTGAGAGATCTACCAATATATCACCTGAGGCCGAAATTTCACATAGAATATACCGCATAGCCTATGTGCCAAGCAACTTCGCTTATTTGAAGCTTTTGGTCCCTCTAACATCCTTGCTAGTACTCTGCGTGACAGCGATAGGGAGTGGAATCCATTACGATCATCATCCACTCTGTCCAATAGAGAACCGTTTGAACCTTCGCCGAGATGTGGCCGAGACAGTCCACTTCGAAATCGATACCGGAAGGATTCCGGTGCATATGATTTATAGCCTACATGTACAACGTATCTCTAGTTATAGTACAAGAATAGTCGGCCGCTTATGTAGCCTCTGTTCTTCACGACGTAAGACTTTAATAATCTGATTTATTTGGACCATGGTATTAGGGATGTTATATGTAAGCACACTTTTCTATGTATAACCTTTGACTTTATTTGCCTCGTCTGGAAATGATGTGGACTACAACAAGCATACGCCCGACGTACATCAATTCTTTCGAAGAACCACTAAACAAGTAAGCTATTGATTCCGCGCACAAGATCTGCCGTGTTGATATGCACATTTGTATGAAAGACTCAAAAACTGCCCCCGAAAGATCGCCGAGATGTCGAGTGCTTTCCAGCACACAATGTTGTATTGCGCCAGTCTCTATTTGGTATGCCAAATGAGATATACGGAGTACGTACAAGGCATGAAGAAATGGCGATCCGCTTAAAATAGACATGTTTGATACTTCGTGATGGATGTACACAGGAAAACGCAGCATTATCTGGGCCCAGAATTGACAACACCCCACACGGCAGCAAACCTCCGTATAAATTCAGCATCTTTGCTTCTCAGCCAGCCGTCTTGGCCTGCAAAAAAAATCAATTTTGCACGCGTATGGTGTACGTATATATCATCGCAAGCACCAGCACAGGCCGAACGGCAGTTAACCCCCGAGATCCGCACAACAAGTAAGTGTAATAAACATACCCTCGTTGCTATAATTAATATGATATTCTGGAAATGGAGCAATGGAAACCACGAGGGACTGTCGCTATCCACTGTGTATCCACCGGCGGATCTTAATTAATCCAAGCCATTTTTCTCATTTCCTCGCGTGGCTGAGTATGGAGTAGATGGAGTGCAATCTCCCAAATCTCTTAACCCAATCTCCGTTGGTTCTCGGCTTCCACCTATTCATGTTTGTGTGGATTAAAGATTTGAGAAGGGTTTGTCAAGGGATTTAGCGTGTGCAATATACATCGTAGATCCATGACTCGGGTCTGTTTTCCGTAGAAGAGTGAGATCGTCGTGAAAATGCTACCAATATATCATATATCATGCACTTTGCGCTCTGCCTAGGCGGTACTATCCGACATTCACTCGGAGATTTCCTAACG